TAATATAATATAATATAATATAATATAATATAATATAATATAATATAATATAATAATATAAATAATATTAATATAAATAATATAAAACCTACCTGTCTGGATTTGTAGATCCTAATGTACTAAGTACCATTGCTGATATAACAATAAATTGCTCTACCCAAAACCCTTTTACAATATTAAAGGGACAGACTGAATTGCAATTCTCACTAGGCTTCTGTGTCAACTCTCAAGCAGTGCCTGCCGATTCCTGACTCTGATTCCAGTTTGAAATGATAAGCATGTACGATATCCCAACAGCCTTAGGGGCTGCTATTTGTCACTGGCCCTCACTTTGGGTGAGTTCACATACTTCAGGGAAGCTCATTCTTTTGGGCAGTTGATGTGTAGTGAAAAATACTGGTAACACCACCTTTCTTCTGCAGTAAGTAGAGGTACAATTAGGGGMCCAGGGGCTCCCTGTTCTCACCTCTTTTTTTTTTGACTTGGCTTCCCAATACAAATTTCAGTGCTAACTTAGGTGGCAGTGAAGTTTTTGGGTTTTTTAATGGTCCACTCAAAAGTGTTTCAGGCATTSACATTTTTGACATTCCATACTTTTCATGAAACAACAAAAATCTTAGCTAACTTCATTCTCAGTTCTCAGACAACCAATGTTTTTATTAAAACATTCCAAATTAGCAAAAGTGCAAGGAACAGGATTCACCAGGTTGGACTCTACCCAGCAAAACAGGCACAGATGCTTGCAGAGCCTCATTATTCATGATAAGGAAACAAGATTCACTAATCAGAGATCATCATCTACCAATTCTTGTACYAGTTAATTTCACCAAAGGAGAGTAGTTTCCTTATGACAAATATCACCATGCCAAGACACGTGGAGGCACTSTCCATGAACAATGAAAACACAGAAATTCTCTCAATGTGCTCTCCTGCAAAGCAGATATGACTTTTGTATTTTTGAAAAGAATATGCAGGTTAGTCAGCAAAGCAAGTGAGGAAACTCCAATATTATGTGATCCAATGTTAATATTAGGTAAGAAGAGACATATTTGAATGGTCTAAATTCTACCTAATCTTGATACCTAACTCTTTCTAAGAGGGGTTCTTGCTCTTCAGAGGTGTCCAAATAATGTAGAAGAGTAAGACTCAGTAATTTAAAGGAAATTTATATTGCCTAAATAGTGTCCTACTATGGTAAATACTGTCTATTTTAACTTCCTCGGAACAATATCAACAGCTCTTCAGCATTTCAGTATAAATTCCTTAAGAAACCTGTTTCTTTAAATTTTTTTATACCTTTTAAAGAAGTTAATACACTGATAGGRTTGTTTAGATCCACTAAGTATTTTAAAAGGTTCATAGAAACTCAGGCTAGAAAAGATATTACCTGCTTTTACAGTGGCAGTGTCTTCAGGTACTTTTCAAATATTACATCTACTTGGGTTCCAGTATACCTCTACATCAATGCCTGAYGAGGCCTGGAAATCAAGCTGGAGAAGATATCAAGCAATGCATCTCAATTTCGATTTGGATATAGAGCAAATGGCTTCCTACAATAATGGTTTAAGGAGTGTCATATTTGTAGCAAAGCAATCTTACAACCTGTATTGATATGGGAACTGGTACAGCCAAAGAAACAGGAGATTGAAGCAGGAGCACAGGGATATGCAGTGTAAGTGGGATATTCTCTGTACAGAAAATCCCCCTGTATGCAGAAAAAAATGCTATAGTTGGTAAATCTTGAAGAGCAACCTATCTGTCCCCAGTTGTCTCCTGGTTTATGCACTCTGTCTGAAGTGTCACACCAGAACTGAAGCCATGGTTCCAGTCTCAGCCTTCCCACTCTTCTCATGATGAGAGCATCACTTCATCCTTCAACTTTTCCACTTTTTATCAAAGTACACAGATAATAAAGTTTCCTTGCTCCTACCTTGTATTTGTCTAAATTGCAAGTCATTCCCCTTTACTATTCTGCTCCCATTCACTTTTTTATGTAGGGAAAAATACTGCTTACAARTTGTTTATACAGTTTGGCTCTGCTCTCAGTACATCACTCTTTGAAACAGATATTGTCAAAGCAACACAGCCCCCTAGTGTGGATCCAAAAGATAAATTCACATACAATTGTGAGGTACTAGCTTCCACCAGACTACATGTAGTAACAATTACACAGACTTCAACAAAACTCCTCTAACCAAGCAACAAAAACCCCAAAACCATACACACAGAAAATCCACACAAGCCAATAATCAAGAACGTAAATTTAATAAAAATATAGTAGCTAAAATAGTTTCTATTTGGAGCAGTTCAGCTAATACTTTTGACTGAAGGTCTATGTAATATCAAAAAGACAATTAAATCATGGACCTTAACTCTAATGCCTCATATCTTAAGGACTGGAATTATGTGTAAATGTGTAACATTTTCATCTAGAACAACTTTGCAGAAACATTAGATACAAAACAAAAATTCAATTTTGAGACTGACAACAACCTACAGATCCCACGGGAAAAAGTTGTTTTYGCAAGTGTTTAAAAAAAAGATGATGCAGTGAACGAACATGTTCCATTTTATGGTTATTTTGGGTTTGGTTGTTATTACTGTCCTGTAAAATGCAATAAACATGCCGTACTTACATTTAAATTTCTGGGATCTTTCCCTATCTGATTATAGAGTCAGGTTGATTAAATGGTATGTGGCTAACCTTCCTAGAAGCAATAGATTTGTCTTCAACTTTAATGTATTCTGTTTACATATTTTAATACTAATGCTAAAAAAGGCCCATGAAACATGACAGTTACCCCCCCCCCCCATCCAAAATCAGATATTTCAGCATCTTTATTTGGCCACAAATAAGGCAAACAAACTTCTCTTCATATGTTGCAGATTAACTTAGCAATAAACACAAAGGTTTATACTACTGGGACTAAAGTGCAGGACTTAATAATCAGATTTTAATTTGGTGTCTACACTTCTAAAGTCAGGCTGTTCTTACATTTCTGCATCAATTAACCACCTCATCTCCCTTCTTGACTAAAGGGCTTATTTCACAATTAATCTTCAATTACCTTCTATGAAAAGGGCATATTTACCACTGTCAGTGATCTCATAAAGCTAAATCAGTGCTTATAATTTTAAGATAGGCACGTAAAATGCCTACGACAATTTACTATGTGCTGGCGCACATAAAGCCTTTCTTCAGTTGCTGTTTTTAGAGAACGGCTGGCATGCTTTATTCACAGAAGACAAAGAAGTAACCGTAGGTACAGCAACTGCTTTTGTAAACTAATRTTTTAAAAATAATAATAATAATAACCAAGAAACCATTTACAATGGTGGGTGGTTACAATTTACCCCTACTCTTAATGTGGCATTGCAACAATATCCAGTAAGAACAACAGCACCTTGTGTCACCTACATGGATAATTCGGCTCCCTATTTTTCAAATATACCTAGAAACAACCTGAAGTTATCAGTGATGAAAACTTTAATTTACTACAGTTAATAATTACATTATTTTAAACAGTAAAGAAACTATAACAGCTTTCAAAAAAAAGTTATGGCACCAAGTCTCTTAGGCAAAATATTTTTGAGAGCAAATACTATACTGAAATGAGTGTTACAAGTGGAACTAATTATTTTCTGAGGAAACACTTGTGATTCCCATCTCAAAACTGGCATCTTGAAGTCTATTTATTTATTCTCTATGAAATGGCCATAACAGCAAAGCCTACAAACAGAAATAAATACTTTTGGCTCTCTGTGGAGTTATACCTTTTTAATTATYTAACACACACAGAAAGAACCTTCTTCTTCCTCAAAAAAGCACTGCACACTATCTAARAGGACAGTCCAAATTCATAGTAAAACATTTTTGTTGTAGTCCAAAACATAATCAAGATCCTTTTCATTGTGATCAACAACGTATGACTCTTATTTCCTGACAAAATGGTTAATCAAAACTCAGCAATACTATTTTAAGTTTTCATAAATTCTTCAATGCATTTTACATACAAAGTACCTCTTCTTCCAAATGAAATAATAAATTTATTTTTCAAGAAAAAAAATCACATAATTTAAAGCAAAAAACTAAAAAGCTGTATAATAAATATTTTAAATACATTGGGGCTTTTTTAACTGTTCAGTGACAAAGTCAATGCAAGAACATATGAAATTTAACTGATCTGTTTTTAACCTAAGCAGCAACAGTACAATATCCTAAAAATGAATTAGCACTTGTGTAATCAATCACATTAAGTATCTCATATGTTTTTTTATTTTATTTTTGTAAACAGCTTAATTGAATTTTCTTGGAATCCTTCTCATCTTTTAATTTCAATTTAATTACGCTGTAATTACAAATCTTCTCTGTCATATGCATAGTAAACCCGTCTCATCTCTGTCACACTATATCCTAAAGTTAGCATTGCAACTTCTTGATACAGAGCTTGAAATAAGAGCCTTCAACAGTTCAACATGCTACAAAATAAACTTTTAAAGGTGACCAGGGAAAAACCAGTAGGAAAACAAGAAATGCCATATACCTATAGCAAGTAGGTAGAAGAAGGCAACTACATTCAAGGTTATCATTACCTCCATCAGTATTTTCATATTGCCAGACAACTGCAAATGTGGTGGTTTAAGATGTCATCGAATTAACTCCATCCATGTGGCTCTATCACTTCTGAAGTGACACAAGGAATGCCATTGCAAGTGAGCTTTTGCACTTCTACAGCAGGCAAGGTGAGGTATTCGGTGCCTTAATAAGCACAGCACCACTAAAATGTATCTYTGAAGTATAACACAGCTCCACCAGGCCTATGACTTTGCGAAAGAGAGGACMGCACATTTAGGATTTGCCAGCTGTCTTCCTCTGATTACCACTTCTGTTTCTCTGGAGTAAAATACAACACAAGTTCACTAAACAGCTAAAGGAAATTAACCAAAGCCAACAAATACAGATTCTGAGAGAGTAAAGTTACSTTTTGAATTTTGTGTATATATGCGAACTTACATCCTCTATTTGCTAAAATATAATAGAAAAAATGTTGATGCTGTGGATAACACTGCAGTCAGGTGTACTTTACGTGGGTCACTGCCATCACTTAGTGAATGCACACCGTAATTTTCYCAGCTGTATTTAACAAACATTATAGTTTATTATCAAATTTACACTRCACTAACATTTAACAAAGCTGTTAATTCTAGAGGAAATCAATCATACTCAAGAAATATACAAGAAGTTTGCTACAGAAAAGGGTTTAAAAGGAAACAGGAAAAAAAGAAAGAGAATAAAGAGAATAAAGAGAAAGAAGAAGAGTAATAAAATGGATAGACGAAAATTACAAACCTTAAAAGAATTTGAGGATTCTGAACAGGATAAGATTTGCAGTAGTATTACAAAATAGCACGGGGAAATTATCTCTGCTACTGTTGCRAAGTATGTAACTGGCTTCCCAAGCAAAATTCATGAATTAAAATACATAATACATCATTTTACTTAACAATTGTAAAAAAATTTCCTTTACAATTGTAAACTTCATACCTTTAAAAAAAGAAACAGATATCTGCATGTGTAAACAAACACACAAATATTTTAATATGCTTTGATTAGCAGCCAGATATAAAACTAGCACTAATTAAAAAAAAATTAATTTTAATTGTAAGACAGTATAGGATGAAAACTAATCCCAAAATTCAAATAATTTATAAAGGAATATCTTGTAGCGGATAAAAATAGAATTTTTATTTTAAAGCCTCCAAAATAAATTAAATGTCTTTTCTAAAAAAACACTGAAATTAGGTGGATTTTCCTGCTTACAGGGGACATAAAATGACTACATCCATTGAATGCTGAAAGCTCAAGGTCTTCTCAACTGTTTGATTTGCTAAATATTATGCARAATATTCAAAAGAAAAGCTTCACAGTTGGGAAGAAACTGCTTTCTTTACTTCAGTTATAGCACAAAAGATAAGAGCGGAGAAGAGTGACTAAACTAAATGACAACGTAAAAACTCTTTCTCTTTCAGGCACTTTCATAACTCTGAAAATAACAYGTTCAATTGTTTGTTTGAAAGGCAAAAATCCTTCCCTTCAGGAATTCAAAGTTCAAAAAATGGAGTATACTTTTAAACAAATCATCACATTTTAATTACCTACACTACGATGCGATGGGGCCCCAAGGAGAAATACGCTGTCTCAAATCCCTCCCAACCATAACCATCCTATGACTCAGTTCCTATAACAACCTTTCTGGAAGGCATCGGGTTCCTGGCACAGTCTATACTTTGTGTGAGTCCTTGAGGAGGTGACCCTTCACAAGGACACCTCATCTCAAGGAAGCATCAACCTCCATTTGTGCATGTGACGGGAGCAGCACTAAACCAAAGGCAACAAAACAACAGAACCACAGATCAGCATACATAATGCAGTCTGAATGAGGAATGTCACACCCAACCCAACTGTAGCACTGAAGAGAACAGACATCAGCTTCTTCGAAAAAAATACTGAAAATTAAATCTAAACAGTCTCAGGGCTGTTTTTTCACATCACCAGCTTTCATCAGAGCCTTAATAGCTCTGGCCCTCATCTCGAGCTCCAGAAGCTCAAGCTGTTGTGCTGATGGCTGAACATCTTCTGATGGAGGAACAGCTAAGGTCGCTGTTTTGGGCTCCTTCGGGCTGGACTCTGCCAATCCCAGTATCTCATTCACACTCTTCTCAATGTCCTTCTGAAGRTCATCTATCTGACCAGCTCCACTTCTGACAGTGCTTTCTTGCACATCYGGGCCATCTTCTTCATTGCATGGACCTTCTATGTCACTGTCATATGCATCTGCATTTATGCTGAGGACATCGCTATCTTCTCCTTTGCCTGTAACACAAACATAACAATCACAGAGCTGCCTAACAATTTTTTTTATCTCAACTTACAAAATTACTTCTGCTCAAAGAGTCACTCTGCAAATTAAGAGAATGGAAAAAAAAAAAGATCTGTAAGACAACCAATTCCTCTTGTTTTTCTCTTCCGACTTTTAAAGCTGAGCTAAATTATAGAAAYGTTAACATATTTTTATGACAATTAGAAGGAAATGTATTATAGCAAAGCAGCAGTACCAGAAAAATTTATTCCCTCCTATGCAGTTACATGATATATTTTCCTAAATAAAATGTCATAATATTTTATATCAAAGAAAGCTTCTGAAGTGCAAAACTGATTATTGTTTATTACCTCTTAAGTCAACCTAATTTTCAGAACGCAACTTCAAAAATTACACTCAACTATCTCATGTATTTTAAGAGGAGTGAGACACACACTAAAAATTAGTGTGAAAATTAAGAGAAACTCCACTTATAGTGCAACTTCTCAGAATTTTTCACAAGATTTCCAGATGTTTTTAACTCAGCAGAAACGTGGAATAATTTGTGGCTTTGGCTTTTAATGGTGGCTGAAAGTTGGAGTTTATATATATACACATTATTTACGTATTTTTATATATATATTATTGTTAAAATGTAATTAGAAGAGGCAGTGTAACAAAATTAAAAGCAAAGCTCTAACAGAACCTGACTGTTCTCTCTAATTTGCATACAAAGAAACTTGCTTTTGAYATACTGGCCTCAGAAATTATTACCCCTTCAACAGCTTYTGCATCCGTACAAAAACTCATAGTAGGATTGGKTCCTGCTTAAAATCATTAATGGATATTCAGATGATGGCAAAGTTAATGATTATAAAGACTTTATATTTCCTTTTGGTAATACCATTGTTACCACTTGCCCAGGAAAAGCAAGGCTTTAGAAAAAGGTTACTCTTTTTTTAATGTCATTTTAATATGCTTTTTGGTACTTGTATGCATTTTGTTTTAATACATAAAAAGTGCCCAAAAACCTTTGGAAAGACCTATTTATTTTGGGGTTAAAACATTTCTGCCCAAGTGTGTGTGGGGAAAAAGAAATCCATACTGACTAATTACTAAGCTATAAATACAGTGTCTCTACTTAAAGAACAAAAGRAGGGAGGAAAGGAGTATCAAAATATGTCAAAATGGCTTTATAAACAATAGCAACAATTTAAAACATTAGTCCAAGTGTTCTATTGATTCAGTATTAAAGGTTTTTTGCACTACAGATACAGAAAAAAAGATACTTAGTTACTCACTCCTGATCACACCGCACCAGGCTATGACTGGTCACAGCATTAAAGTTCAGATTTAAGGATTCTGCACATTCACCCTTGGAATGCACTCCTAATTTAGGATCTTATATAGTTATCAATCCAGTACCTCATAACACTGGTCTACTGGACCACAAAAAGTCACCATAATACCGATAAATATGTATGTTTAGAAACATAGAAAATTAAGGTATGTGGCACCTCCAATGTTCCAATCAAAGCTAACAGGAAATTAAGTTAAGTTCATGAAATCTCTGATAACACACATAAAATAAGTTTACAGATAACTTTTTGCCTTTATTTTTCACAAGATAAATCACAATTTTGAAGCAATAAAATCTGAAAGCCTAAAATATAAATAAAGCTATAAAAAATCCTCCTCACAGCAACATGTATGAAAAGTACTTATCAGGAGAACATACAAGGGTATTCTTTGATCCTAAGTAGTCTTGCCCTGTTTCCACTGTGACAGGAACTTCARGATTAGTGTTTCAGCTTCAGATGCAAATTTACCTATTTTCCCACACCATTTAGTCAACTTTGAACACTATCTTTTTAACTTCACCTTGCAAGCCACAATGTACGTGAAAGATRAGAATGGTAAACAATAGAATTAAGAAATGTTAATTTTCCTGTCTCGGTCCATAGTAACAGTCAGTATTTACCTAACAWGCTGGCCAACCAAGCAGCATTTTCATGGATCAAAAAAAACAGGTGGATCAATGGTTCAAGTTCAAAGCTTGAAACTTAACCTCAATGCCTGCTCATCCCAATTTTCTACCAAAGTTAAACTGACCCATACTGAGTCTGGCTGGGATAGAGCTAATTTTCTTCACAGMAAACTGCATGACGCTGCTTTTGGATTTGTTTCTGAAACAATGTTTGTAACACACCAGTTTGGCTACTGCTGAACAGTGCTTGCACAACCTCAGGGCTTTTTCTGTTTCTCACTGACCCTACAGAGAGCAAACTGGAAGTGTGCAAGAGGCAGGGAAAGACACACAGCCAGGACAGCTGAGCCGAACTGACCTAAGGGATATGCTCCATTGTACAACACTGGCATTTGTCTTCCCAAGCAAAGTTATGCATGCTGAATCTCTGCTTTCCAGAAAGTGGCTAAAAATCTGACTGCCAACGCATGGTCGTGAATAAATCTCTAATTTTGCTCTGTTCCCRTGCATAGTTCTTGCTTCACTTATTAAAAGGTCTTTATGTTGATTTATAAGTCCTTCTAATTTTGTTTTGCAGATTGTCTCCTATACTGCTGGCGGGGGTCAGCCCACCATAGGGCTCCTTTTGGAATTAATTGGTCACATTAAGAAGATATAAACTATTAAGTCATTCATATCTATTCCAGACCTAGWATGGACAAGAAGCTGGGCAGAACCCTTGGGTACTGTTCAGAACTTGGAAGCTCCAAAACTGTGTAGTACACTGGTCATACAAGCTTTTTGGCCTACAGATGTTTAATGAGCTAACAGGCTTTATTTCCCTGTTTTGCACCTGTCTTTTTACACAGTAATAAGGATCATAGCTGGCATTGCTCATTACCTTTTTTATTTTGATAAATTAATTTTTCCTTCCTCCACAGTTGCAAAATTAATTTTAGCATGCCTAATTCCATTTTAAAATTTTATTTTATYCAACTCTTCTTATTTTCTCATTTTCTCTTCTTTTTCCAACAGCTGCTCAGGTTGCAGTGCAGCCAAATGACTGGAGTTATACTTTCTAATTCATAGTCATATTCTGAAAAGCTCTTTAAAGTTAACACCTTGAGTGGAACCACTATTATAGCCCAAAACCATCATGACACACTGGTTGATTAAGTCATAAAAAACAACAAGGTAATCACCTGCAAYAGTCACCCACTCCCTCTGATAACTCAAAAGTGGAAGAAATCTGTAGGAAATCTGTCAGTTCTAAGGTTTCTCAATATAACACAACAAGCAATTCCTCACAAAGTCATGGCAACTCACTCCTAAGAGTTTTGATGCTCTTATTATGTTTGACCCTTTCTTTTTCCATTTAACTGTTCTCACTAACTACTTCAGAAAAGGAACACGTTTCACATTATTCCAAGATACATCTTTTAGACAACATTCTGAATTGTGAAATACTAGTTGGAAGAAGCAAATAAAGTTAGATCTTTGCAAAAAAGAAATGTAATTTAGAAGAATTTGCAACATTCTTTCACTGGAAGAGCTATTTCTGATGTTTCTGCATACAGCCAGTCCAAATGAAAATAAACAGACCGAGACAAAAACAGCTACAGTTCTAGTTCCTCAYGCACAAACTAACACTGGCAACTGTTAAATGTGCTGATTTAATGCTTGGAATGAAACAAATRCTATTGCAGGCTAAAAATACCATTTTCTTGTGCAGAAGGTACAAATGTCCAGCAATAACTTACTTGCCTCTGAATTTTCTGTTCTGCCCATCACTGTAGTACTTGATTGTCTCACACGCTGGTTTTTTGCATTTAAAAAGAGAAAGTACACAAGACAAAACATTCATTCTCAATGATWTGAAAATTTGAGTGTGTACTTCTACCTGCACTGACTTCAAGTAAAATAAGCCAGCTAACACAAGCGATGGGTGCCAAGCACCATTTAATTGGACCTCAGCTCTGTAAAATCAAACATGGTTCCAAGACTGAACAAAATGACTCAATTACAAGCAGTCCTTTGTCAAACAGTTRCTATAATGGATTTCCATGAATGCAGAAACAGAGTACAGTAGACTCGGATGACCAGCTCAGTGTAAAGTAAAACTCACACACATTTCAGTAAACAGCAACAGYAGTATTGGCAATTACCTAAATGACTGAAGTTCCCCTTCAGCTGAAAAACTAGATATGAAGGAGCCACATGAGCTCTGCAAGAACTTCAGTCATGTTCCAGAARCTCCACTAGAAAAATTGTGAAGAGCTGCAAATTACTTCTAGCCACAAAGAACTTCCATTCCGACAGAATTAAGGAGACAAAGTTCCTAGAATGTTKTCTTCAATGTTCCCTCCATCTTTTTTGGAATTGTGACTGCAGGAGAAGTTGTAACCTTATACAAGCTGATTTCTAAGAGGATCCTTCTCTGTGGTTGCAGCTACTATTCACAAGAGAGCTGTCAGCTACCTGGAATTAGTCACTGGCCAACATCAAGAACATAGAATTTCAGCTTTCTTTACTACATACCTTGTTTTGATTCCTGACCTTCCAGCTTGCTGTCTTCTCTCAGAGAAGAAGTTGAGTCTATGCTATTGTCCTGTCTGGAAACAATTAAGCACACACTTTAATCACCATCGTTTACTATTTAATAGAATGTTTTTAAGAAATGAAAGAAATTATGAGGTAATAGGCCAATAGCCAGCAACAGCAGAAATTAAGGGAGAAGGAATACCCAGAGAGCTAATCTGAGCACTAAAAAMCAAACTTTTTTTGGTTTGCCTTGTGACACACAAGAATAAAGCAATTATTTCCTTCATATCCTTGCCCTTTTAGAGTAACAATTCTCAGTGGTTAGGACTGAGAAACTAAAGCTGAYTGATTACAAAGGAAAACCTCATCACATGAGGAGATTTTCCGTAAAAGTCAATTGTGACATATGTTAAAAATTTGGGAAAAYTAGTTTTTGCTACATTCAAATACTATTTACTGTCTTATTTTAACAGTAAWATGGTATTTTTCATGAAATTATGATCAGCCCATCACCATCCATGCCTCCTATGTCACAATCTTATAGTTTTACAGAGACTTTTAAAAAGGAAACTGTTTACAACTCAACTGTTACAATGTATCCACTACCTGCATTTTTCTATTTCTCSTATTTAAAGATTTCTACCCCTGGCTCACAGTGTTTCAGCTCTTTACAGATGGGTAAGGAAGAGACATTCTGTGAGACGTTAATGCCCTTCACATACTTCACACATATTATTTACACAACCTGTGAAAATAAGGCAAGACATACAGGAAGAACACAGGTGGAATGATCCAGAATCACAGGAAGAGTTYAATTGTCACATCTGGTGAATATTTTGACCAGAAGAATAGTCAAGTTCCTACATTGAATGTTGGTGTGTCATTAGTTCAATCTATTTTAATATGGAATCAATGCAGCTATCCTGCCCTCAGAAGCTTAACAACACTATAAAAAGAAAGCAGTATTCTGGTATCACAGACRTAAAGACAATGACTAACAACTTCTTTTTCAGTAACGGCCTTTAGGGTCTTCCTGACAGTGAATACAGATCTATTTTCCACATGCTCTACAAGACGGGTTTTTTCCATGTGTCCAATGGTTTTATTAGGAGGGGGAGCACCATAATATTCCTAGCTAACATTGTCTGAGAGACAATTCTTTTCATTTCTGTTTTCTCTTCTGCAGTGGCAAAGGCTGCATATCAACAGGCTCTCCTTTTTCTCCCACTTTTTTCTAGCCACTGGCACATAAATGCTTAAAGTTTCATGCAATTGATTGCAGAGAATAAACAGGTCAACACAGCTGTCTAGTGAAGGCCCAGACCTGGACACCACAGTCCATCCTGCCTATTTATTTAACCATATGGCTACACTAACTCTTTCACCAAATAAGATGACCCTAATCTAAATATGCCAGCAACTGCAAAGGGTACTACAGGTCACAGAGGCCTGCACAACTGTGCTGCCACAAAAAAGCCAGAACGAAAAATTCCTCCAGGATTTTCAGTGCCATACAGCTGTATGCAGATGCTTGTAATTCACCAGCAAACTTCAAGCTAGACTAGACAACAAGAAGGATCAGAAGTCTGGGAGCAAGGTATCAAACAGACAGTAAATTCTGAGGCCAAATTCCAAAGATAGACCAGGTTCTGAGAGTAGGGAAACCAGACAGACCAGGGAAACTGAGGGACCATAATATTACTCCAGAGATTGACAGCATCAGCTACTGGGGAAAATCAAAAGCCTGCACTTGGCATCAGAAAGGCCTGCATGCACAAGATCTGAGAGGCAACTGGACCAGGGATACAGATCTTGTGGGCTTGTGTGTCAGCAACTGGGATGAGTGTGTCAGAAACTGTGGATTTCAGACCAGCTACTTGTCAGCAGATATGGAAGGAACACCTGATTTTCTGGCCTTTTTTTAATTTTCTTTTTAAGCAACTCATAAAAATTTTTTACTTAACTCTTGACCAAAAATAGGTTGTGAAATGCCCTGATCATCACTAAGAGCAGAACCTGCTTAGGCTGCCACTGACCTTAGCACATCCTCCTTCACACACATGCTTCATCATTTTGAACTCAGTAGTCATCTCTGCATTGCACAGCCAAGTGCCACATGAAAAAGCCAGATCTTGCCCCAGTAGTATGCAGGCAATAGATGGCACAACTCAGGTATCACCTTGAAGTCTGATGAGGAATTGTAACCATCTCTTTGCGAGAAAACTCAGWGATATCCACAGTTCAAGCACTGGCTGTGAAATTATCCATAGCCATTGTAATAGCCTTGTGAAAAAAAGCTATCGATTTAGAAAAAAATCACACATCGAAACTTGCTGTAAAGTTTCCTCCTGATCACTTATCAATAATTACAGCAAACCCACATTCCTTTAGAGACTACCTACTGTGAGCAAAGGAATTTTGAGAATGCAATGGTTTTACAACATGTTTTACTGTCTCAGAGTTGCTTGGGTTCAACTGAATTGCTGGTAAACCTTCATGACTTTGTTTCACAGGCAGGCATTTTGCACCATCTACTGGCCCAACATATGCACTTTAAGTTCACAGCTGAGTTTGGCTTTTAACTTGTTAGCCTTGTTTTATCTGTTAGTTTAGTTTTGTTTGTTTGCTAGTGAATATTTTTTCCTTAATTATCTGTACAGTGGTATACATTTACGAAACGGTAGCACAATACCATGTCTTCAAACAATGGGAGCAGAAAATATACTATTCCAAAATTAAGGGACAACAAACAAACTTAATCCTCTCTTCTTTCATGTTATGCTAATAAGTGACAACAATAATTACAGTAATCTAGAGTTTCCCCTTTTTGTTGGCTTTTAAAGGTATTTCTCCCTCAAAACAACAGTTAAGTCCCTCTTCCAATCAATAAACTCAGTATTTTTAATTTATTTTTTTCAGCATGATCTTTTCAGCAGAAAAAAGCTAACCAAAGTTACAATTTGTTGACAACAAATATTGTAAATTTAAAATTACCTTACTCTGCGTAGAGCATGCACTTCAAGTTGGCATGCACCCCACCAGTGTAATGTTTAACTGGGCTCACACTCATGGCGTCTGTACACAATTTGCTACAGGAATTTCAACAGCTGTCAAAGACCTCTGGGTCTGATGGTGATTTGGTACCAAACCCCAGTAGATTATGCAAAGTGAGGTAAGACAGCAGCAAAGATTAGGAAAAGAAGTACTGGCAGAGGAGCAGATGGATAAGGATTAACACAGTAGCTCTGCAATGCTGGTGACTGGGATATCAGATTTCAGTGGTAAATTTGAAAACTGGGGTTGGAAAACCAGAAGGAAAAGTTCTGAGGCAGAAAAATGTATCTTAACAAACCTGACTAGAAGAAATTCTGAAAGTCTGAAAACATGAGACAGTTGTGCTGATACTTTCCTTACAGGGCTTTTAGTTTTTGCTAAGAATCATTCACCTAWATCTCCAGTGAGACTTGAGATCAGTAACGCTGTTATTTTTGACATGATGCAYCTTCCTGAATTAAAATTTGCTTTTGTACTTATTTCCAGGTCTGCAAGTCCCAAGTTCTTGAAAGATTCTTGCAAATTTTTGTTTCAAGGATAGTTTTCAATGACAAATGATAATTAAAATAATTAACAGCAACCAATTAAAAAAAATAAGGGGGGAAAAGTCCTTACAAAGTAGCGATTCTCAAGAAAGGTATCTCAAAAGACAGATGCTAATCAAATAGTTTMATAAACTGTAAAAAGTCCATCAGTCCTGATACAGGTGAAGTTTGAGGACACCACAAGAACAGAAGGCAGTGAAGCAAATTAGCCAAATGCTAACGTGACTGTTCAATGACTCATGTAACCTGTTGTTTCAGTGATTCCAAATGCTCAAAATAACCAAATTGTCCTACAGGGGTAAATATCAGATGGCAATKGCATGCTTGTGAACAGCCCAGTTCCCAGGAGCACAACACGTTATAATAAGGCAAAACTTTAAACTGCTAACACTTCCAACAAAAAATAAGCAAACTGCACTTCTGACTAAAGAGCACTAAAAAAAACCTATAATTTTTGGAAAAGGAAATATTAAATTGYAAATTTTCACTCAGTGAAGAAAATAAGCCCATTAAGATTTTGAAGGCAAACGATCATTTACTCAGACACGAGAACATTGATCATTATAATGATATCACAATGCTTGTTACTTTAATAATGTTTTACTACTACTGCATAYAACTTACTTTCACTCCTTCTGCTGGAGGATATTTGAAGAGTCAATTCATGTAACCAAAAACAAATAGCTCATGAACATACTAACACCTCACGAATAAGATGGGAAGAATGTCTACTTGCTTTTGGAAGAAATTACTTGGCTCCTTTCAATCAAACATCTAACATTTTGTTGGAAGCCTAGTTTACAGTAGTTCTCTTGGTTTACAAGTATTCCATTGCAGATAGTAACACAGAAACAACAATAAAAATCTGAGAACTATATATTCAAAAATCTATACTGAGCTCAAAAGTAATGAAGTATGTGTATTACAACAGCACTTTTCAGTCACTGGCAAACATAAAGCAAACTGCTTATTCAGTTCTTCTGCATGGTTATTGCAGGATTTCTAGTGACAACATTGAAGAAGCTGGTGACAAAATAAAAGACCAAATGTAAGCATGTGAGCTTTTACATAGTTGAAATTTAGGAAAAGCCTCAGGACTTCCATTTCTGACAGCAGAATGAGGATATGTGAAAAAAAAAGAAGGAAAAATTCAATTTATGATTAGATGTGATACCATCTAAAAAGTTTCAGATACAGATCTGAACTTTGCAATTTTCCCTATACCTGGAGAAACTTCTCCAAATCCCTGCTATTTTTAGCTGGTACAGACACAAAACAGGTATTTAGAGACTGAGTCATTTACTTATTTAACTTCTGATTTCTTATAGAGGTATTGATTTAAGCTTTCTGGATTTCTTTTGATATATGCATATTGCTGATGGTTTGTTTGTTTAATTTGTTTGTTCAATGGGCACTAATGAAAGTAACAAGTGATGCTTCCAACCAATTACAACATTTTTGATTAGAGCACAACTTGCTGTTCACTTTTTTCCTTTCCGCATTTACAATTCCATGAAAACAATTAATGTAAGTCAGWTTTAAAACAAAAAAGCTGTAACAGAATGCAGAAGAAAGAAGTCATTTACATGAAAGCCAAAAGTAATGACGGCAGCCCAAGAAGGACCAACAGTGAGAATATAAACAGAGAAACTACCTTTTTTGTTATGAAAGGTCTTTTCTATTCCCAGGGCAAACAAATTCAATCACTYAAACCCAGATTACATTTATAAATATATTAATAATTAAGAACAATGAATACTTGGCATAGCAATGCAGTTTTCATTACTTTTTCRCAGTTGCACCTTGATCCTCTCTGGTGGCTGACCTGTTGCTGGCACAGTTTTCTAAAGTTTTGAAAACTTACATTTCTAATTATTTACACGCATTATAAAGAAGCTGATCTAATGCCCAAAGATTAGACCTACTTAGTAGAAAGGGCCTGTGACTGTTTACAATTGTARAAGTATAATATTGGTCTACTTACTGAGCACTGGACTTCAAGATWAATCTTAATTCTCATTTCCTCCTATCCCTTTATTTTTCTATCATCCAAACCACTTTTTTTGTTTTGTTCTCTGTTAGTCCCAGCAAACTGCTGAACTGATGAGCCAAGGCTCTCAGACAGCACCTACCTGTGCAGAATGCTATTTTTGAAAGGGAGAAGTAAATCCACAATTCCAAAACCAACATATATATCTTGCCTGCTAGCTTGGAGGGGTCATAAATCTTAAACTATCAAAATACAGATAGAAGAACATGGGGCACTTCAACCACTATTTGTCAAAGCAAGCAATCTGCTCTATAACTATGATCAACATCTCATACCTTTTTACTTTTTTTTACACAATCTCTCCTTGATTTTACTGTCAGTTACTGAAACCTTCCTACTTGACATGGGCGAATAGATTACCTTCAGACACCCACTAGTTAAAAAATAGTAAATCTTGATTCCTTTTGTTATTTTGTAGTTTTATTCATTCATTACTCTTTTTAACAGCTCAAATAATTTCAATATTGAAATTCAAGCAAGAATTTACCCAATCTACTGTATCTAAGGGTCATAAATACGCATCTCAAAAGCAGCTTTGAAATATCTCGCAGACTGAAATCCAGCAGCACTACTTCTGCCATGCAACTTGGACATGAAGAACATTGCACATATTTTGCAATAGTAAATAGCTTGTGAGTCAGGCCTTTTAAAGAAACCCAGTACTTAGGGTATAATTTTTGAATTTTTCTTCCTGCATTTTTAAACAGCTAGCAGAGGAAAATAAGAAACATAAGAAAACTAGTTTTTAAAGTTRACTAATGCTGACCTCATTCATAGATCAGGTAGACAACAAACAGCACATAGGATACATTAACAATGGGTTCCAAATGGAACCTGAGAAGAAACAGTGTCAGAGGGCATTAAAACTGTATCACAAGCAAAAAAAGAGGAACATAATTTTGTATAACTCCATTTTCTAGAACATTTGTACAAGGAGAAGTGAACAAAGAAAATTCCTTTAAGCAATAACTGCACAGTTTTTCTAAATCAAAGATAGGATCAGAAAGCAGGTCTCTGCTAAACAAAAATAATTACCAGAATATGAAAACTGGATCAMTACTACCCTTCCCATCAATTTGTTCTTATTTAGGAGTTTTAGATAAACTAACCAAACCAGCAGCTAGGTGTTAATTTTGTCTGCCCAATTCTGGTGCATTGTCTTGCACTGTCTCAGAGGTCTAACTCAGAAGTTCACTCTGATTCTGTGAACCAGCTGTAATCAGGTCACTACTGAAAACATAAAAGCTTATTAGTCTTCTAGAAACAGGTTAGCTTCATTAAATTTGATGCATCGTGTGTGATAACTAGTAACCTTCCTTTTCCCATCWTAACTTCCATAGGAACTATCAATGGATGAAATCCTGACAAAAAATGGTCYTCAAAAAACAGACAGGCATTTTAAGAAAAGGTTAAAAAGTGTTGTCTTTTACAAAACTGACAGATGCCAAGAACAAGAAACCACAAGCCTCTGTTCTTGAAACTCCACATTATGTATTACCCCCAAGAGAGTACATTAAAAAGGTGAGTGTCAGCGCTGCTTCTACTAGGGCAAGAATGAAGGACCAGAAAGAAAGTTGAAGAGAAYGGATAAATCTCAGCTGAATTGAAAATACCCCTACACAATTCACTGGCCTAAGTGGGAGAGGTTTAGGGTTTTAGCTGACACAAAGAGAATTAACCTAAATCACACCACTTCTGTTGCGGGACACAAGTGTGGATGTTTAATCACTACAACTCAGCTGATGGGTGGTATGTCACTAAGAACCCAATTATGTGCTCAAGACATGCTGAATGTCATAAAGTGAYAGTCATGTCTGTAAATTTAGTGCTTCCAAGTAGTCACAGCTCACTGTCATTTAACTACAGTAATTATTTAATTAAGGATATAGCAATTCRCTGTTTCAACAATACATTTGATCATTTCTCAGGAAAAATCTCTGCATTGTTTAGTCTCCTTAAATTAAGTGTAAGTGTTTTGTCTTTTACTCACTGACTGACTGAATCACCTCCAGTCTTGTCTCCTCCATCTGCCTCCTCGTCAGTATCAGAATCAGCTCCAATCCTTCCTAAATATACAGTTTCAGACATGAAAATTTAGGAAAGCGATATAATTAATACTACATAATTAGACTTACTGTTAATTATTAACTCTATGGCAGTCAATAGAAGAGGATTTTTCCCAATTAAAGAAGAAGTTCTAAAATTAGACTTAGTCAAAACCAAAACCCCTATCTGTGMATTTTCTGTTAGCCATGCATACATTTATACTGGACTACAAAAAATCTGATTAGCTATTCTTAGTAAAATATKGGTGCTAAAAATAAAGTACAGAATTAACAGCACAATACTCTGCAGCACTCAAACTCGAAGAGTTTCACTTCATTGAGAAGACAGCAATATTTACAAAAAAATTCTATATCCATTCAATATCCAGTGGAAGTTAAATARGGCTGTAAAAACCTGGAATGTCATATACTTAATCAAAGTACATGAACTGTGTGTCTTGGTGGAACTGAGCGATTAGGTACATACTAACATATACTTACTAGTCTGTGTCTGTAGATRCATATACATATATACTGAAGTAGCTAGAGAGAATGAAAATCTAATTGAGGCAGACTATTCTCTTGTGTAGAGTGGAATCTGAAASTTTCTTTCATACCTTCAAGTATCTTCAACAGCTTTYTTTCAGATAACAGCTCCAACTGCTCCATGCAAAGTCTTTTGATTTCATCCATGGAACAGTTCTAAGAAGACAGATAGACAGACCACAAGCTACTAAAAATTTCTGAGAAAAGAGTAATTACAAATGTAAGGAGTACTCTAACTGTAATGAGTAAAGAGTTAGCTTGGATTAAAACCTCTCCCACATTCTGATCTGCTTTGATGCAACTGCTGTAGAAAACCAAGCGTTTCAGTTTAGACAACCGCAAGAAAGAGCAAATGTGGGGGTTTTGTCCRAAAAATTAAGCAATACACACTATGAGTTACCTGACCTATGGCTTGGAGTTTTATTGCAGCTGCAACACTGAGCATCAGAAACACCAGACTGTATGTGTGAAGCACAGAACAGCAAACAACTGCAGACCTGGTTACTCCTAATTCTCCATCACCTGGGGTAGCTGGGTAATATAATTAAGCTTGCAAGGACCAGAGCCAACTATTGAATCCAAGTTCACAAACTCAAGAAAACACTGCTACTGACAACACACAAACAGCTGAATATCACAACACAGAAAATAAAGGGAGTATGTAAACTGTGATCAATTTCCTGCACTCAGTACACACCATACGATGCCACATTTTATTAGTATTTCAGTTACCTTCACATCTCATACCTTTTGTTGACATAGAGTGATAATTTCATGTTTTCAAATGAGCTATTATACCATGAATGAGTACCAWAATTAGGCAGTGCAAAACAGGTGTAACACTGATGATCATACTGTGAGTTTGGTCCTATACTAGCAGGCAGTATCCCTACAAACMCAGTAATGTCTTTGCTTCTAGTTTCTTGACCTCTTTTTCTTCTGCCAGAGATGAGAAATGGATGAGCCTGTATGCAATTTACCATGTGTTTCAAATGAGGAAGTCATGTCTCATATCAATAATACAACTTATTAGGATAAAAATTAAATGCAAAAAATACAAAACAAACTTCACAAAAATGACATTTCACCTGCAGCCTCTTCTACAATACAGGCTGCTAGCCTAATTTATTTTYACTACGTCCTATTTTTCACAAGACTCAGAAGGGAATTGTTCTAACCCAGTAAGAGTCCAGCTTTAGCCCACAGGAGTTACAGATTCAGAAGTTGTTTATCAAGAAGGGGCTTTATTTTGTTATCTCAGACATTACTTTAATACCATACAAAGGAACTCAGCTGACACAAAGAGAAATCAGTATTTCATTTACAAACAGCATATTAACTAGTGAACAACACTACTTAATTTACTCTTCACAATAATGAAAATCCTTTTGCATTTAACTAACCAGTAGAGAGGGACAGCCCAAATATAAACCTGAAGTTCAAAAATGGCTGAGCAGTAGCAAAAGAAGTAATCTGGAATAACTATAGCAAATCTTTAAAAAGTCTCACTTCCAGACACAAAACAGGGACACTTCCTTATCTAAGAAAGGTACTTGCCTTGATAGAAACTTCTTTAGTTGAGAAATATACAGGCAGCTTTTAAAATGTAAATGCATTTGAGAGATAAGTATCCTTTGTCACACAAGTATTCAAGATCATAAGTAGTGCATAAATGGTAAGTGTATTTTGGTACCTTTAAAGTATCAGGCAGCATCTTCTGTAGTTTCTTCTCTCCTATGACACAGAAACACTGCTGCAGCATTTCTTTTTTGTCCCCGATGTAGAAACTGACAGGTTTGAGTGATACAGTGAGATCTAATCCTCCTTCTTCTATATCACTGGGTTGTTCAGCTTCTTCCACTTTTTCTCCAGAGAGTAGATTGCATTTTGTTTCCTAAAACCAAGAATGGCACATTTTCTAGTGAATTAGAGAAGACACAAACTTACAGCTGCACCTGTACTTGCAATAATTTGCCTTTCATAAATCCAAGATAACTCTTTATGCAGACTTCTCAAGTTCCAAAGCTTCATATTGCAAGGTAACTGCATTATAGAAGTTCCTTCTTTTATTACTGAAAACATTCTTGAGCTAGGAAAACTTGTTAAAGCTTCAAGAGGCACAAATTACTAATAAATATTAACTGGGAAATATTATCTGCAAATACTTCGTTGCTGCTTATACATAAAAACATGCTTTAAAGCAGAAGAAATCCATCTGATTTGCCGTGCAGTTAAATCATAAAGTTCATCATTTACAGCAACCCTGCTAGGGTGGAAATTGACATATAATTCCCTGCGTGGCAGAGTTTTTGAAGAACTAAGAACATCCTCCATACATTAATGGATGACGTCTAGAATAAAATAAACTAATAATAATGGGAAAAAAAAMMCAAAAAAACAACAAAAATAAAACCCGACAGACAGAAATTGATTTTGTCAGCCTCAGAACTGACTTAGGCGCGCATGTCACAACCATTTTTGCACTCACACACCAATACGTCCTTGAGCAGATTCACAGTGCCCATAGGCATGACAACCACGACTGCGGCCACCCGAACTGGCGCTCCGCATCTCTCACCCCCGGTAAACACAGCCCGGCCTCCCGGGAGGCGCTCGGGGCTCTGCAGGGCTCGGCCCGCCCCCGCCTGTGCCTGCAGCCGCCCACCGAGCAGCGCGACCGGAGCGTCCGGCCTTCCCGCCGCCAGCCCGGGCAGGGACAGCGGCCCAGGATGCCGCGGGATCGGGACGCGCCCAGCACGGCAGAGCGGCACGGCACCGGCCACAACCCCGCGAATCCGCCGCGCTACCTCCGCAGCCCCGTGGCTGGACTCGGTGCTCCGCCGCTTCCTGTCGCTGCCGTCCGGCGCCGGGGCTCCCTCCGGGCAGCAGGAACGCGAGCGGCGCCGCTTCTTCTCCTTGGAGCTCTTCCTGCCCGGCATGGCCGCGCCGCCACAGGGGCGCCGCTTCCGGCGGGAAAGCGGGCAGCGCCCCCTGCCGGCCCGCGCGCTGCGGCCTCCGCGGCTGAGGGCGAGAGCGAAACTGCTGCCGCTCMCGGGCACAACACCCATTTACACAAATATCGGTGACCCAGCGTCTGGAAAACACGTCCTGTGAGGAGCGGCTGGGGGAGCTGCGGTTGTTTTGTCTCCAGAAGAGGAGAGACCGCATCGATCTGTGCAACGCCCTGAAAGGAGGGTGTAGGGAGGGTGTGGGGGTCGGTCTTTCCTACCGTGCCTGCAGTGAAAAGACAAGCTGAGACAGGGGAGATTCGGATTAGATATTAGAAAAAATAAATGCATAAATCACGGTCAAGGTGGCCATGCATTGGAGTAAGTTGCCCAGAGGGTGGAGTCACCATCCCTGGAGGTGTTCAAGAGGGGTCTGGATATGGTGTTGGTGATGTGTTTTAATGGTTCAGTGGTTACAGTGATGATGCTGGGAGGATGGTTGGACTTGATCTTAAAGTTCTCTTCCAACCTTGATGATTTTACAATGATTCTATCATTCTATGCCCTGTAACTACTGAACTTTTCCCTGGCTTTCAACCTGTTTCAATTGTGCAAGGACCTGCATACTTCTGCTTGGCTGCTCTTGGCATTGCAAATAACTTGGGAACAATAACTTTAATTTTTCCGTGATTCTTAAAGAGTACTTGAGAAGGGCGATACTAAGCAAACAATTAGGAATTACAGCAGACAAGGCTGTTAAAGGCAGGTGACTGCTCTGTGCAACTCTGTAACACACTGATCAGCCTTCCACTACCAGCATGATTACAGAGGGAACTTCAGTATATTATCCAGAAGATGATAGTTGAAAATGAAGACTAGGGTAGAAAAATGTCCATTATGTGGGGAAAATTTGTATTAAAAATCTCCTTTTCTGTGCAGAGATATGCAATAATTTTCTTCTTTATTTAAAATACCAGAGTGTCTGTTCTGTTTTCGTTCCCAGATTCAAACATGTTGCCTTCCAGTTTGTGGTTGTCCATACTGTCTTGGATCTTCAAATGGGAGGAATTGGCCCATTTAGGTAGAATTCCATTGAATGCAAGTTGTACTAAGCTAGTAGTGATCAAAAGTGTGGTGGGCAGATGATACATATTGCATGGGCTGACATTGTTTTCAAAAGGGTTAGAATTTACTAAGAAACGTCAGTTTTTTCAGCAAACGTGAGTCCCTGCAGAGGGACAAATAGTGTCAGAGTTGATCCCAATTAGTCTATATTGTCAGATTCCCTGGGTGGGTGGGAATAGATCTTCGTATTTATCATCAGCATGTGCAGCTTTAGCATATTCTGAAGGTGGCAGAGGTAATATAATTACAAACACTGATGAGGGGGCTGCAAGTTTGAGATAAAAATGGGATCCCTTGAGCAAGTGTAAGGAAAATAAAAAGTTAAGCAGTGTATGCTTAGGCATGCAAACTGTGTTTTTAATGAATGCAGCATCTACTCACAGAATCAGAAGCTAACCGGGCTTTTGATGAAAAGGTTTGTAATATTGGAATTTAAGTGACCACGTTTCAAATTCTATTGTCAAAAACTGGTAGTTCTTACTTGACACAATTTTTTTTCCATGTGTTTAATACAGACCAGTACAGGGTTGTGGTCCACATTTTCAATTTCATCTTTGCAACTGGAAAGTCTAGAAACAAATTTCCCACCAAAACTGGAAGCTCAACCTCAACAGTGAACAAGCATAAAAAAAACCACTGGAAACCATATCTGAAAACACCCAGATACTCTTCAGCCTGTCAACAATTGCATGTGACATCTTGTTGCTGAACGTTTTGTTTCACAGTCTATTCACAAATTTTGAAGACTGGAAATGTCTACTGTTCCTAGATTTTAGATTTGTTGATAGTTTAAGGAGAAAGAGACGAAAAGAGGCAAGTAATCACAGTATATAGTAATGGATCACATTCAGCTAAGAAGCCTAACTAATTATTTTTAATAATTTTTTCAATAAACCTTCACACAATTGGAACCAGCAGGTCGTAACATTTCGTAAAGCATTTGGAGTTGCCTCTGTAGCACCGATCTATGGTATGACTCCTCCTGTAGATTATTATAGCATATTACATTATAAAAAAGTGACTGCATCCGACAGTTCATTAATGTGTAGTTCAGTGTACAATGCTTTTAATGAAACAGGTTTGCAGACTGAAGTGAGTCTGTTTCGGGCTGTAGCCTGAACACGACTGAATAATTAACACTGTTTAATTAGATCCTGATATGAGCAAGGTGCACCACAGTAACAAGACACTACAAAAACCTTGTGACACATTATYCCAATTTATGTTACTATAGCCTCCTTTTATCTTGGAAAGTACAGCAGTTGGTGCTGAGCTAAGTCAGTTTTGACTCCTCATTCAGTTCCTTAGGGAGGCATTTGATACTGTGTCCTGAGTTTTGGTCTAAGTAGAAACCAAGATATTCCACTTCATAAAACCCAAGGCATGCCTAATAGCAATGGTTTAAAATTAGGTGCTATTGTGTTTTTTACTGTTCTTTGTAAAAGCTTCCATTCTAGCTTAGAAATAAGATGCCAGAATTGTGTCAACTTCTTAGAAGCTCTGAATTCTCAGCAGAAGACACAACTTCCCTTCAAGGGGCTCTAGAAATCTCTCAGACATACTTCAACTATCCCCCCAAAGAATGAACTTAGGAGCACTTGGCACACAGATCTACTTATCCAAAGTTTACTGCTGTAGACATCCAGCCAGCTCCCAGTTGCGTGCTATGCACGTTCTTGTTTTCAATATCCTCTGCTCTCATAAGATTGTACACTGTGGACTCACGTCTGGCACGTTTCCTCAGTACAGATTTAACATTCTTTCACTGCACCAGGAACTTCATCCTGGTGAAGTCCCTAAGGCATTCTACTTTTGGTGACCCCAACAGCAGATTGTGCAGTACCCTTACATGCAATTTGTGTGGTTATGTACATGCATGATKATGTGAATCACACTGGTTTTAAACAATGTCATTCAAAACAAAAGCAATAGCAAACAATTTCCCAGTCCCAGTTTCCCCAGAGGATGCTAGATCATGGAAGGGTTGAATATCACAGCTCCCTGTGGCAGCAGGTATCTTTCTCTCCAAATAGTCTTGGCCTATTTGTTTATCTTGCCTAACATTAGTGCTACAGTCCCCAGGACTTCTTGATATGCTTCATCATTTCTCTGAAAATTTAAGTGAATCTTTTAATATCTTTTAATATACCATTTCTTGGGAGTCGCCAGAGTATGTTTATTAATATAAACATTAATTTTTGGTCTGGAAAATCCGTAACAATTTTCACGTAAATAATCTGTAACAGAGCAATCCAACAATAATAAAACCAAAATGTTAAGACAAGTATAGATTTCTTAAAATAACACAGGTACAAACACAATTAAAGAGCACAACATTAGAAAGCTGAAGTTTCAAGAACAATTGTATAGTAGGCAACCAAAATTCAACAGACAGGCACATTATTTCACAGATATGTTTCCTAAAGGTAGCTTCTTAGACGCTTTCCCAGGAAGGGGTTTCTCTATTAAGCACTGTAAATTCCAATAATTTGTTGGACTGCCTCATATATGAACCTCCAATGGATCAAATCAGAAAACCTATGACTATGACCATAATTAAGACTGTGAGGGTATTTATTTGGAAATTCATCAAAAGTGTAACTGTACAAGTTGGGACAAAGTTTGCTAGAAGCAGTATAGTAACTCAGTCCAGGTAGCTGGAGCAAAACAAAGAGCTCGTGGTCACAAAATCCTCCACAAAATCTGGCACAGACAATATAGGCAGGTTGTGATATAGACCTCACATGCCAGAAAAGTTTGCCCATTTTTTTCCGTTTTCCATTCTGTCAGTCTAATGAAAAATGTAACTTAAACATTGACCATCTTCAGTTTATCTTAATTCTAAACCCAACTGTAAAACACTTGCAGGAGCAGTAGAAAATAACACACCCCTTTTGAGCTGAGCATCTTAGGTCTTTTGGAATAACTGTGACTGTTTTCCCTTTTCACATCACCAGCGTTATGAAAGTTAGAGCTACTTCATAAAACTTGACTTTAAATTTGTACAGTTTACAACAGAATATTTCAGTTGTAAAGGACCTGACCACTTCTGGACTGACCAGAAGTTAGAGTCTCTTGTCAAGGGCATTTTCCAAATGCCTCTAAAACATTGACAAGGCAGCGTGGACCAACCACCTTTAGGAAACTTCTTCAAGCTTCTACTGCTCAATCTCTTCTCTGCACCTAGACTGCTCTCCCACTCTTCAAGATGACCTTTTTTTTAACATCTAGTATTTTACAACATAGAGTAAGACACTTGCTATTAACTGGTGGTGTATACCTGTACTCAAAAATTAAAACATCAGTTAAAGGCTTCTGAAGAAGTTCATGCCATTTTACAAGCTGCAAGATACAAATTTATGAGTGAAGCATAAAATCCCCATATGGCAGGTAGAGATTCTACCCCTGAAAAAGTCATCTTGTCCTAGGGTTAAAAAAGGTAAGAGCCACAAAAGCTAAGTTTCAAAAGGAAGTGGAGAAAGCTGATGAAAAATTTCCTTAGCAGGCTATTTCACAAGGGTTAATATTACCTAATATTAACTAATAAGCTCGTGAAATGCACTATTGAACATGAAGAGTTCTCAGGGCCCCTTCTCTGCTAAAAAACCCACAGTCAAGGAATAGACTCCTCATGCTGAAACACAGAATGTGACTGGGGTGGATGTCAAGARTTAACAGTCACTACATAACACCCATTTCCTACCTTTCTGTCTGTATGACCTGGAAGTACTGATATGGTTTGACTTCTTAGTGATCTACTTTTATCTGAGCAATCCAAGGACTCCTTACAAAGTTCCTGTGCACAGTACACTTCAGAAAAGCAGTCCAATGACAAACAGTGAAAAAGTTTTATTTGATCTGTATCTTGCAACAAGTCGAGTGTAATTAATCCACAGTATTTTCTCAAGTAAAGTCTGTCATAAAATACGAATAAAAGCATTTTTTCTGCATAAAATGATTATAACAGATTAAGAACAAATCTACAGCATTCCTTTACTTTAGCAGGTTCCGATACAGAAGCATACTTTTTTATTTGAGAGTCAACTCCCAGAGACTTAGCTAATTGCACAGCATTTGTATCATCACTGATTAGCGTCCCAAGAGCCACAAGCAGTCTAAAAACAGCTTCAAGATCTTGAACAACTTCCATAACTGTGCTGATTACTGATAAACACTGAGCTTTGCCCTCAACGTTGTTGACTTTATGTAAACATACAGCATAGTTCAATGTCAGCGTGGCCAGTGCAATGTGGATGCTCTTATTGCCTGATTTCGTTTCTATTGCTTGTGTCATTATTTCATCCCTCTGTTCCATCATGAGCTTCTGGCCTGCATGGCTGACAAAACAATTGCAGAGAGCTCTAAGTGCCAACAGCTGGTTAGCTTGCTTTCCTTTGGGGTTCAGAAATTTAAGGAGAAGGATGATAAATTGTACGTGTTCCTTTTCACTGCAGAAGTTTTCATTCACAGTGGGATGCCTGACAGACAATCTAAGAATGTCTAGAGCAGGAAAGACAATATCTAAGAAACAAAAAAAAAAAAAAATCTAGTGTTAATACTTCATTACTAGTGAAGTATAAATTTTGCCAGTGAGTTTCTTTCACACACAGACCTTCTTAGCCCTGTAGCTTTGGAAAAGGACGGTAACAGCTTCATGCATAAAGAGATTCAGGTAAAGCATGAATAATTTGAAATTCATAAAGACAAATACTGACATCCATTCCAGTAATACTTCAATTACCATAAAAAGACACATAATCCTTAATTTAGGATTAACACAGCGCTTTGTGGAAAATATTACAACCTTTTCTAAAACCTCTAATTGATAACACTGAAGGCAACCACAATTAATTATGGTAATTAATCAAAAAATATCTTTGAAAGCTCAAAGTTCAGCAACTGAACACACCTACATAGACAGCATCTCCTTTTGCCCTCATTCTATAACTTACAGTACACTATAGCTAAAAACTGCTTACAGGAAAATTAAAAAAAGAAAACCAAGTATTTAAAAACTACCTTTAATTCTCAGACATTAATTTGCAAAGAAAACAAAAACTACATCCTCAACTGATCAGCTGTAAGGAAGGTGAACTGAACACTTGCATCCCTCCTTTCCCAAATTCTGAATGTATGTGGCTCCTTAGATCTACTGCTGGTGTCCAATGCCTACAGCTAAATCAAAGCTAAACCCGCCCCACTACTTATTGAGGTTTCCCTGCAGATATGCAGCATCTTCAGAATTAATGCTTTGTACAATACAAAGAGTCTGGAGGGTATCACATTAGCCATCACCAGCTCCCCGTTATGCAAAACATAGTTTGATTAGATTATGTTATATAATGACCATGAATTTTTAATCTAAAATGTTCTTCCTGTTAATTCATCTTTAACTGTAATTTTAAGAAAGCAGTTCATTTTAACCATGTTTAGATATTTGTATATGCAAACAATCTTTTTTTTCCAGAACGTGCTGTAACAATTAAAATAGCTTTTCCAATCCATTAGTGCTGACATTATTACATGAAATTGTATCACCTCCACTTGCATTTTGCCAGAATGTCATTTCATTAACACAGTTTTGATCATGTAGTGTAGCATCAGTAACTTCTCCTTCTCTACTATATTAAGCAGGAACTACTTTTGATTTTTTTCCCCCATAATTTACCTCCACAATTTAATCTCTTTATTTGATAACAGGTTAGGATCCCAAGATCACACTTCTTTACTCTATTTCCAAATGAGTCTCATGCCTTTTTGAGGGTGCCCCTGCTAATGAAATAACCACGACTGATTTTTATATTGAGTTTCATTTTCATTTATTATTGTACTAAAAACAAAACCTGATAACCAATTACCAATTTTGCCTCTGATCATCACTGCTAGCACCTTCTAATAATTTGTTTTCTACTTGGGCTATCAGGTCTTTGGGAAAGAGTCAGTGTAACATATAGCAAAACAAACTTCTCATTCACGGTGAAATACTGAAAGTACAAAAAAATAACTGCAAGTGTTTACCTTCTGGCCAGTTAACTGCTCTCCATAAAGTCTGAAGTTGCTGTGCTGTAGGTGTTTCAGCAGAGGTGTTGCATGTTGCAGACAGTAACTTTTCTAGGATTATCAAGTCATCTTCTGTAAGCTTATGTTCTTCAGCTGCACTGCCATTAAGCTCCTTTAATTTGCCTGTAATACCAATAGAAAAGGTGTGGTTTTCTGAAAATAGAACTTCATAAATCAAGACCTCAAATTAAATGCTATAAAAGCACTTTATAAACAAGTAACAACTATTGCAATTGAAGATTTTGGGGGGGGGGGGGGGGGTGTCAGATTTTTACACATTTGCTCCAATTCGAAAATTTTCCAATTTTAGGCTTTTAATTATCACAATGATTGCTACTATTAATTCTCCTTTAATGATGCAACAAAAAATTCAGAACTTGTAGAAAAAGTCCTGAAAATGCCCACAGACAAAAATCCAGAAAAGAATCACAAGATCACCAGAGCTTTCATAAGTGAAATACAATTCCTTTTTGGTCTTTTCTAGTAAGTAGTGGAAACAATAAAGAAACTACATGTTATTAGTGCRATCACAATTTTTGTATTTTTATTTAAGTCATGTGATCATGTTTTGCTTATGCATGCACTATATTAAAAACTTCAATGTGATTTAAAAATCCAAGTATTGGATTAATGTAATGGATCTACCATTAGAGCTCAGTTAGTCAAGTTACTTCCATATTTTTTTTAAAAGCATCCTTGATATTAAAACACTCACCCAGTATCTGTGTAGGATTGGCCTGGTCAAAGGTGACAGCATCCTTTTTTGGAAAATAAATATTTTCAGCTTTAGCCGCAGCTGACTGGTAGGCACCCATTCCTACAGAAAGGCAACACAAAGCATTCAACAGTGTACCAAGGCGTCTGACACAGAAGCATCCTAGCAGTAATTCTGTACTGCTAGACATGACTCAGAAAAAACCCTTTTGAAAAAAACTGAACCTCTGTGCAAACAGTTGTCATACCTTACAGCAGTTTTACATTCAAGGGTTAAAGCTTAAAGCAATACCTTCACAGACATTTCTTCCCTCATGTAAAAATTTACAAGTTGAAATTATCAACATTTATTAATTATGTGAACTAAGTACACAGTGACTTACAGGAATGATTATTGCAGTTAAGACATGAAAATGGCAAGTCTACTTAGAAACAAAGATCCCTTCTGCCCCTGAAATCTTGTATTTTTATTTTCATAATGTGTTTACATGATAGAAGATTTACAGATATGACCAAGTCATGGCACATGCAATAGTAGCCTGAATTCTCTTTCTTTAAGGAGCAATAAGAAGCTTTTACTCACAGGTCATTTAGTGGCTGATATTGTATAATGCCCATTAATTATATATATATAMATTTATATACAACTTCCTATGATCAACAACATAGCTACTCGGAGACCAAAAATCCTCTCAAACAGATTATCATACATTTTAAGGCTTATGTGCATGATTCCTGCAGGTAAAGGAAATTACTGTTATCCCTATTTCATGAATTAATTTCCAGGGTATAAACAGCTTCAATCTGCTCATCATATTTAATAAAGTATGAATTTGCATCAATTCAGAATTCATGTCAAAGAAAAAGAAACAAAAAGATCAGGAGTGTTTTTCATTGGCAGCCATTGTCTCTTACCTGTATATGGATCAASCCCGACCCCTGGAGTTACTGCATTYGATGCTGAACCAGGAACATAGCGACCAGCACCTAACAAAGATGTTAAGTTTTTAAACACCACCACCAGTCAATGGGTAACCTATACCTGTATTTAGTTACTAGTTCAAACACTATTAAAGGGAGTATTCTACACTAAAGGAATCACAAAGAAGCGTTCAACACTTTTTCAAGCGTGAGAGTGTTGCCTGTGTGTGACAGTGTTGGTGATGACAGCATTCACCAGCTGTGTGAGGCACTGCTGGACACATTGTGTCATGGCCTCTGGCACCCACAGGGGCAAAGGACCTTGGCACAGCAGATACCTTATCCATGACAAGCTCCAGCAGGAAGGCACACTGCCCAGGCCTTGTCTCCCCATGTGCCTGGGCCAGCAGAGGTCACTCCTGTGGACTCTCTTGCACTGAGGCTTCAGTGAGGCCTCCATTTGCAGAGACCACAGACAGAGCCACTGAAGTCAGGGAGGAGGGACAGCTAGACACAGAAAGATGGTCAAGATGGGGAAGACTGAAGGCTGTGTGTTTTGGTAATTCTTTGGTCCTGTTCCACCTGTAGATGAAACTGCAAAACAGGCAGTAAGTGCCCTGGCACTGGTGAGAACAAATCTCAGCAATGATGTGTAAGAGCCAGCTGAAACTGCACCTCACCTTTGAAAAAAGGGGAAAGGTAAGCAGCAGTGATGGGAAGCTGAGTAACCTCCTGCAGGCCCACCTACTGATATTACCTGGTAACTTGGGGGTTTGGTATCTGCTGGGGGCCAGGATTTGCGGTGCCAGAAACACTGCCAAGCCTTGACTGGCCTTCAGACTGTTACCCTTTCACTCTTGGCTATCAATGGTTTTGCCAAGGAAGTCCTGAAGGGTATCAGGAGTGATTAGACAGCTCTGGAAGCAATGATGAAGGGTGAGGTGGTGTTTCTTTGACAGTTTGAACGAAGCAAAAATGCTTGAATGGAAATGCTCATCAATAGGTCAGCAACTCACTGCAAGGCTGGTTTTGCAGAAAATACTTTGGAATCAAGTGACTACAGTACCCTCTTTGAGGAGCAAGAGCTACTAACCAAGGATGGAGTATATCTGACAATACAGAGCTGGAATTGGGAATGTCTTTACAAACAAGGTTGCTAAACTAGTGAGGAGGACTTTACAGTAGCTATGCCTGTGAGGATCAGAATCGAAAATACAGGGTAGATTGTACCAATATTGATAATGTAAAAAAATAAGTAAAATTGAAAACAGAAAACTACCTCTGTGAATATACTTAATCTTGTGCTGTTCATGTATATGAAGTCTGGCAAAACAAAAGGTTTAGGTCCTTACTCTTCTGCTGCAGAGGGCAGAGTGACATGAGGCACACCGACAGCAGAGGGCTCCCCCTCTACTGAACAGATCTCGGTATGCTTCGGCAGCGGCAGAACCCACCTTACCAGGCTGCTCTGCACTACTGCCCCAAACAGAGAAATGCAAGAAACAGCTGTCTGAGTCTAACCATGGAATGCAACAGAACACGATTAAAATACATACCTTAAGTGCTAGTCAGACAGATTACGAAGTTTACATTACCTGTAAATGGGTCTGCCCCAGGTATTGTACTCGATCCAGATGAAGAACCTGGAACGTAACGTCCAGCACCTAATCAGACAGCAAGAAAAGCGCTAATTATTAAACATACCCTGATGTTGCTACCATCCAGAGAAGGGGAACAAAGCTGGTAAAGGGTCTGGAGTGCCCATCCTATGAGGAGTAGCTGAGGCAACTGGGATGTTTAACCAGGAGAAGAGGAGACTCAGGGGAGACCTTACCACACTCTACAATTCCCTGAGAGTGTAGCCAGCTGGGGATTGGCCTCTTCTCCCAGGGAARCAGTGACAGGAGGAGAGGGACACAGCCTTTAAGCTGCACCAGGGGAGGTTTAAGTTGGGCATAAGGAAGAATTTCTTCACAGAAAGGGTGATTGGGCATTGGAATGGGCTGACCAGGGAGGTGGTAAACACCCCCACAAGTGGTGTGTCTAAGGGAAGTCTGGATGAGGCACTTAGTACAATGGTCTAGTTGACATGGTAGCGTTCAGTCATAGGTTAGACTCGATTTCAGAGGTCTTTTCCAACATAAATAATTTTGTAGTGCAGCTCTCCAAGTTACACATAACCTGATAAGCCTATATTTGCATTTCCAGTCCATTGAAAGAAAGATTAAACTTAATTATTTTAACGCTATTTTCTTTGTAAGTTCATATTTGTGAAACCAATTGAATTAGTTTATTTTGTAAATGTTATACGCAGGATGTAACTGATTAACATGGTTTAGTTTATTAGTAATCAACTTGTTCTAGTTCCATTTCTTGCCTGAAAAAAGTCATTTATGTATTTTAGTAACTTTTGATTAATTCTTTGGCTAAATTTTTGTATTTTGCAAATTTTTGAACTAGTGTGAAAACTGGAGCTTTTTTCCACTGGAAACACTGAAAAATCCAACCGGCTTGATTATAATTTTGCTGAAGAGCTACAGTACTGAAGTCTGCCTGGGCAGACAATTCTGAAGTTCAACAAGGCTGGGTCACAACAACCAGGTAAGGCTGGGGACAGAATAGCTGGAAAGCTGCCCAGCAGAAAAGGACCTGGCAGTGCTAATCAACACCTGCCTGCCCATGAGCCATGGTGTGCCCAGGTGGCCAAGAAGGCCAATGGCATCTTGGCCTTTGTCTGCAATAGTGTGAGCAAGAGGACCAGGGCAGTCAGTCATTGTCCCTCTGTACTCAGCACTGGTGAGGCCCCACCTCAAATCCTTTGATCAGTTCTGGGCCCCTCACTAAAAAAAGGACATTGAAGTGCTGGAGTGAGTCCAGAGAAGGGGAAGGGAGCTAGTGAATGGTCTGGAGCACAGGTCTTATGAGAAGCAGCTGATGGAACTGGAGGTGTTTAAGTTTCTGGAGGAAGCTGCAGGGGTACTTTGCAGCTCTCTACAATCATCTGACTGAAGCAAGGTGCACATCAGACACTTCTCCCAGTAGCAGGTGATAGGATGAGAAAAAATGGTCTCAAGCGGCACCAGAAGAGGTTTATATTAGACATTAGGGAAAAATTCTATACAGGATGGTCAGGCATTGGAACAGGCTACCCCGGGAAGTAGCTGAGTCATCATCTCTGAAAGTACCCAAAAAACCATGTGGATATGGCAGCTGTGCTAAGATTTAAGATGAACATGGAAGTGGTCAGTTAATCACTAAATTCAATATTCTTGGAAAAGTATCTATTGGAAGCCAGCCACTGGTGGTGTAACCCAGGGGTCACTACTGCATCCAGTCTGGGTCCACATCTTCACTAATGATGGTGTGGAAAGTCAGTCAGAATGCGTCCTCAACAAGCGTGCTGAAGACACAAAACTGGAAGGAGTATCTAAAGTCATCATATAAGTTTAAAATATTTACCTGTAAATGGATCTGAAAATTGATTACTTGTACTCAACAGTGTTTGTCCCTTGGTGTTGTCCATAATAAACTTGGCCACCTGATCCAGAAACATAGGATTTAGATCATTCTTTTGCAGGAAGTTGTATGCAGTCAGCCACGGATCATCAGTGATGTTATATGGCAGTTTGTAGGAAGGCCCATTTTCATTTACATCAATGGTGAAAACATAATCATATTCCTTTAAGCAGAATAAAAACAAAAACAAATTAGAAGTTTTCCAGACTTTTCTACAAGATGTATTAAATGAAGACTAATAGTGGTCCAGACCTAAGTCTAAAAACGTTAAACACTGCTACTTACAGAACTCTCCTTATAATACTTTTGCAGAGAGATTGCAAGTAAACATTTGCTTATTTAAACACTAAACATTACATAGCAACAGCCAAAACATCAGTTATCCACACTTGCTATACTAAATCCAAAACATAGCATTGTATCACCTGCTAATAAGGTTCATATCCTTCTTGTCCCAGCCCAAAACCATGGCAGACTTAAACCTGTATTTTCCGGAATTCTCTGCTCAAGAAAAGCAGAGTAAAATGATTTATTATGATATTGTGTGTACAGATATACTTCAAAATAAAACTGCATCGGTAACTCTCATGGACACCTCTGGCTCCCTACAAAGCTATAGAGCAGTGAGATGTCTCAAGAAATTCCGCATGTTAAAAGCACACTTGTAATAGTAGCAAACAATGATCTCCTAATGTTTCTTTAAAACACGTGAGAGTGAAAATCAGTATCTCAGAGCCATCTCTTCTCTGGTGGTCCCAGACAGGCTTTTCTGTCTATATTTCAGTAAAGAAAACATATTTCAGGTAATTTCTTTTAGGTCATCTTAKCTGTCTTTAGGTTCAATAGTTACCATAGAGAAGAGGAACAGAAGGCTTGGTTAGACACCTAGTRTTTTAAGTAAGACTTGCATTGTAAAGTTCATTTCCTTTGGGAAGGATATTAAAACTAACTTCTCAAGGTATTAACAATACATACAATAGAATTTGGTAACTTCTCTACCGTTCTCCAAAATAATTTGTGTCCATTGGTTTGTTCATTTTACAAAATATGTTTCATAAGTAAAAAAGCAAATTGTACTTATATTTCTGACAGCAAAGGTAACAAAAAATAGAAACGAATACCTATTTTTAAATTATATTTTATCTCAACCAAGACTAGTTAACCAGGAAGGAATAAAACCAATTGAAGTTTGCATATACCTTTCCTTCAAATAAAACTTTTCCAGATGTTTGCTGTGTAGCTCCGGAAGAACCAACAACATCACCAATCTTTATCCATCTTCCTTCACTAACACTCCATTGATATGCTTCTACTTTCCCATTATCTTTAATAAGCCGTGTCTGTCCATCTCTTGTTCCTGCAGACAGGAGTTCGAACAATTTCAAGGATATGATTTACATTAGGAGAGAAAAGTATTCAAATAGTGCTCAGAATTAAAAGTAAAAGAATAGGTCAACAGCACTTGAAGTCATAGCACAGGAATTAAGTAAATGCATGTCATGGTTTAACCCCAGAGGGCAACTAAGCACAACTCAGACGCTACCTCACAGCCCCCATGGTTGGGATGCAGGAAAGAATCAGATGAGTAGAAGTGAAAAATTTGGGGATTGGGATATAATTAAAAAATTAAATAAAAAACCACACACACAAGCAAAGCAAAACAAGGAATTCMTACACCACTTCCCATGGGCAGGCAGCTGTGTTCAGCTGTCTCCAAAGGTGCATGGCTCCATCAGGCTCAACAGTGACATGGAAAGACAAATGCGAACACTCCATACATCCCCTCCTTCCTTTTTCTTCCCCCCCTAGTCTATATGCTGAACATAATGCCATATGCCCTAGGATATCCTTGGGTCACTTGGGGTCAGTTGTTTCAGCTGTGTCCCCTCCCAGCTCTTTGTGCACCCCCAGCCTCCTTGCTGGTGGGGTGGGTGAGGAGCAGCAAAGGCCTTGCTTTGTGTAAGCCCTGCCCTGAAGTAACAAAAACATCCCTGTGTTATAAACGCTGTTTCCAGCACAAATTCAAAACACAGTCCCATAATGGCTACCATGGAGAAGATCAACCCTTTCCCAACAAAAAACCAGCTACAACACTACATCTCACAGTAAGAGTAACAACTATCTTAACAACATTTTACAATGACGGTAAAGGTATCTGTTAGCAGGTTAAGTGATAAAACCAATACTCAAGTATTTTGAAATTATACAAAGACAACAATTAAGAAAGGTGATATTCTCCCATGGTCTAACAACATGCATACTTTCACACGAATTTAAGATTTATGCCAATTTCGGATTATAGCCAAGGGCTATGTAATCCCACGGGGGGTTACATCACCTTGCAAAACAGTATTTGCCTATTTCAGAGCAAAATTGCTTCTACTGCATTCCAAAAGACCTCCAAAGTGTCTAGAAATCAAGAACTGAGCCCATCAAGACTACCTTCCAAGCCAGAAATTAAAGCAGGAAATTTGCATCTACTACTTTTACTAGGGAAAAAAAATTGCAAATTCAGTATTTCTTTTCCAAATTACATGTTTCACATACACTTGGTACAGCGCAAAAAGATCTAAAATATCTCAAACACACTGTAGCATCAATTCCACGTTTTTCTAAATTATATGAGAATGAAAAGCTCCAAAACCCAAAAAGTCTAGAGTCCTGCTCCCAAAAAAAATCAGTGAAAGGATAGTAGAACAAAATTAAGTGTTTCCTTCAGTAATTCTACTCAAAGGCATTAAAGCCTTAAGTCTGGAAACTTGAAAAGTCTGGAAACTGGAAAAATTTCAATACCTCAAACCCAGATTTGGAGGCAACTCTAACAGGATAGAAGCACATAACTTACCAGGATCCTTAAGGTGTTCTCTTCCAGGAAGGTCATCAGCATTAATATCCCCTAAATCACCCGTTTTAGGGTCAATGGATGCTTGGGCAAGTTCATTTTCAAAAGCCTGAATCTCCTCAGCACTTGCTGTACGTTCCAAGGACTCTGTAAATACCCTTATAATTCCATCACTAAATGGAGAGAAAACAGTCAAACAGAAATATTATTTTAAATATCACAATGACTCCATAAATTCTAATGGTGACTTCTACATCACAAGAAATCATCAATAGTTCTAACTACRCCTCCCAATTATTGTTATCAAAGGAATTCGGTCTTTACTGAAACTATACAGAGAAGGAATCAAGCAGATGATCTTGTCTTCAGTGTAATTCTAAAATCCAGACGCAATATGCCTATCAAAAGGGTTCTTTATTCTGTGCTTACCAGATTTGTTCTGGTCTATTCATGGCTCACCACATTTCCAAAGAATTAACTCTACCTCTGTGATTGACATTAAAAAATTACTTTTTGGATGAAGTGTAGCACATGTTTAAATTCAATACACACACGCTTTAATGGCTGTATTTTTAAATATAAATGTAACTGATAACTAAAGTGTTGCTGACAATTTCTTCAAGGACTGTCAGACTTGGATCCACAAAGACATTGAAAGTAAAGCTTGGATACCTTGCACCAACTACGATGTCACCATTGTCTAACACACAGCAGCACCATACAGACTGAGCTGGGAGTCTGATTGTTTGAGCACATTCCCCTTGTCTCCAGATTCTAAGAGATCTATCCTCTCCAGTAGTTACAAAATCTGAAAATAAAAAGATTTTAAAACTTTTCAAGTATATTTTTAGCATACTGTGACACTAGATGCCGTTCTGTAACTGGGTATCTAAAATTTAGAACAGTAAAAAAATCTTTCTGTGATTTAGTACTTCTCTCAATTACAAGCAAAGAGCAAAAAGAAAGCCACTGTTCACTTGTCTTCTCAAAAAAAATGAAGTTCACAAATTGCAGATTAAGCAGCCAGTGAATGAAACTGTGTCCAATACAAAGAAAGATTCCTTTCTCCTTTCAAGGGCTTAAACAACTTTTTAATCATCGCTGCTTCATCTTACACTATTTTTGCATAGTTTCACATTTGTTTTGTATTGAGTTTTGGAAGGTGGGCCCACTTTTTCAGGAAACACACATAAAGCACTTTCAAAAGTCTACAAATTCATCAGTGAGGAATTTTAAAGCATAGGAGGTTTACAATATACGCATCAACTCATGTATGTGCACTTTACCTGTTAAACAAATGCGCAAGTCCCACAGAAAGGTCACTGACTTGGAATTTCTTCTGCAACTGGCTCAACAGTTAGTTCTGAACCTCTAAACCTCTAACTATGAAAACAAATGTAATTAAGCCTCATACATAAAATTCTTAACCTAAACTACATATAACACACATCGTGGCAGTATCAAACTGGTAAACCACACATTACTATTTTGTTACTCTGCAACAACCCTGAAATAAAGGTGGCAACTAAAACAATATTTTTGCCTGCTGCTTCATCCAAGTTTTACTTAAGCCTTCAATTAACCTTACCCAGTACCTTCTATGCTACATATTGCCAGAGCAATTCTGACAGAGGTGCAATTTGGAGTCAATCACAGTATCTTTTTTTAATCTACTCACACTAGGTGTATGAAAAAAAATTAAATGCTAACTGAGTTTTTTAGTTATAGCAGTAGCACAGAATATCAGAATACACACCCTGACATTTCATTTTAAAGACTGCTGTGTAAAAGTCACACAAGTAATCTTACCTTTACTTCGAGGGAAGACAGAGATGCTGTATATATAATTTGTATGTCCATAATACACCTGCAGACACTCGCCAGAGATCTGCCATCTTCGAACACTAGCATCATTAGCACAGGAAAGGAACTCCATTTCACTGAGAATGGCTAAACCTCTCACACAGTCTTCATGTCCTTTACAAAAGGAGAAATAAGTTTTAATGTAGTTGTTCTCTCCATTATCAGCAGTATACCACTTCTATATAGCTTACATCTAAGTCCAGGCAACAAATCATTATGGGAGCAGTTAGAAAAAATTAGAATTGCCCACAATTCTCTGAAAAAAAATCTTATCTTTTTAAAAGTCATGTGGTTTCTGGGCATACAAAGACTTCTTAGATTTTTAAGACTTGAAAAATCCTGCCTAAGTATTGTTCAGTTTATCCATGTTTCTGTGAGATTTTAGTGTTTATTCTTTTGACAAGAACACATCACACCAATGAAATTATCAACTGCAGCAATATTTACCAGTGAACGTTCTTTCACATCTGCCTGCTTTCCACAGTTTTATAGTTTTGTCAGCTGAACCAGTCAACATTAATCCCTGTTCAGGAAGTATTTTCACTGCCCATATTGCAGCTGTGTGACCCTGCAAAAAAAACAACATTGTTAAGACTTGACAGAATCAAATTCAGAGTACTTATTTTATATTCATGTAGAGGAACTTATTACCTGTAATGTCATCATACATCTGTCATTCAACCAGACTTTGGCTGTTGTATCCCATGATCCACTTAATAATGTGCCAAATTTCCCAGATGAAAGGCTGCAAACTGGAATGAACATTCAAGTTAAAACTGATAAGTACCCTGCACTGCCACAAAATCTTGTGCCAGCAATTTAAAGACATTCATTTAAGGGGATTTATTTGGTATTAGTAGCATATTAGATGTTGATGAGTCTAGAGAAGAATTAAGGGAACTGCAGTTGTACTGTGACCTAGAAAAAAGCTGCTTAAAAATCCCCTAATTTTAGTTAAAAATTTTGAAGTATTTTTGCCATTCATATTTTTAAATTTCTCTTAGTCACAGATCTCTTCTCTTGGAGTAGAGTATGATGAAACACAGATCAGATAACAAGTCAAGATATACAATTAATGCAAAAGTTTGTTTTGTAAGGTGTCAGAGAAAGAGAAGTTTTATCAAAGGGTATTAACTTATGTCTTCAAGAAGAAAGATTTGATACAAAAAATACTTAGCTCATCTTCTTGAAAGGCAAAATACTACCACTAAAAAAAACTGTGGTGATGTTCAAAGATTTGGTAAAAAGATAACCTGCAAATGCTCCAGTAACACAGTGTAAAGCCATGTATTTAAAGCACCAATTAAAATTAAATACCCATCTAAGTAACAAAATGGGGAGAGAAAATCTATTTAGGAAGCTGACTTTTCCTACTTGCATCAGCTTTGACAAAAAAATTAATCTTAATACATGAAGAACAGAATTAACTGCTTCTTAAAATGCAACTCTTGAAAAAATGGTAGTCATTCTGTAAATAGCCATGAGCTCATGGCAATGAACTTAAGTCCTTGCAATGAATGGTCGCTGCATGAATTAGCATTTTAAAATCCTATTTGCAAAGGCCATAATTAAACTGTTTGCTACATTATATACCAAATAAATAAGAATTGAGTTTTATAAATTCAACTTAATTACCTCTCTAATAAATTGCATTTACTTTTATGCAAAACACTCCACAATACAATTACTACRTACCTGTGTTTTTATGACCCTTAAGGATGTAAAGAGGAGCTGTGTTGTCAACTGTGAAAATGCAAATATTATGATCATTGCCACCAGTTGCAATCAGCCCACGAGGATAGAGGTCACTTGGAGGTATGATGCACACACAAGATACAAAATTTGAGTGGCCACTCATACAGTGCATCTCAGTAAAACCCCTGTTAAGACTTAAACATATGTGATAATCAGTTCAGAATCATGACAAAAACAGTACTTCATTTGAGTAAACTACAACTCTTGAATTTATGACTAAACTTGCTTTGTGATGAATAAATACTATGGATGGCCTAGAAAGAATTAAAAACTTAATAGAAAAATTACACCCCAGAATTCCTCCCCAGTACACATTACTTAAAGCTTTCCACTTATTTCTCAATGCAATGAAGCCTGGAAGTAMTTAAGCTTTGTTTTTCCTTGCTCAGTGGCGAACGCTACACCAAATTTGACCAGAAATAGCTACAATTGGTCTTTAYGGCATCTTTTGCATTCTGAAAACGCAATTGTATACCCAAGTACATGCTAAAGTAAGAGCACATAAATGGAATTTACGGCCTGTCAAATGTATTCACTGGCTTTCATTAGGAGCACTGTACAGGAATAAGAGTGAAACAGATCATAACTTCATCAAGTAGCACCCTCATTTTTTCACCCTCAGTCAAACKCAATAATTACAGCACTAACTGGAAAAAGCTACTTATTCCCATAGAATAAACACGCTGATTGTGATGCTGTGTGCTGGTTTTGTTTTCCTGTGTTGGCTACCCCACCCTCAAAAAATGCAACTTATATCATACCATTATCCTTCACACCCTAATGCTCAGCAAGCTTGAAATATGAAAGGAAATCACAATACTCTTTTAAATTCTAGAATATCTTCTCCACTTAGAGCTCAGGCAACAAATCAAGACAACAYTCTCTTCCTGGAAAAGCTAAACCAAAACAGCATGCCACAGTGTGCTCACCCACTGAACCCGGACTGCTGTAATCCCTGAGCCTTCAAAGAAGAGGATAATCAATATCAACATTATGACTCCAAATAAGTTACTCATGTCTTCTTTCTCACAGTTCTCAAAAATTAGGGGTTAGAATTAGAATTCCTTTGTGGCTGCAAGTTCAGTGCAATTTAACAAGGTCTTTCCTTTGTGGTGAGCGACTTAGTAAGACCCACTTAATTGAGATCAGTCTGTCCTCACCTCAATTGCAGGGCTGCAGAGATCAATATAGAGACACATGTAAGCATGCAGCAAATTCATCAATTATTTCTATTTCACATGTAGGTAATGGAAAGAATATTCATGTCTAGAAACTTAAGAATACAGTTCACAGTATGGAACTATGGTCAGRGGAAGGACTTCCAACAATACCCAACATCTCCACCATCTCCTATCCACATTGCTTAGCAGTACTGCTTCTGGTCAGGGTAATATGTTGAAAAATTCACTTTGTGAATTGAACAAGACAAAATCAGGAGGAGACAACTCTGTGCAACATGAATATCAGTAAAATTGATGTTGKGGTTATTTTTCCTTTTTCAATATCTCTGTGTGTTTTCAGGGCAGGTTTTTTTTCACATTCCACTTTGCGTTTAAAGAAGCTTGCTTAGCAARGGTGAGAAAGGATGAGAGTTTTTTAAACATTCAAAGCACATTGTCAAAAGTACTTTGGCACCGAATACCATGAAATGRAAACAACATTATTAATACCACCTACTAAAAAAGATGCCTAGAACTACTGACATTGTTACATCTCCAACATGTACAGCTAATTGCTTAAAAACATGCCAGGTTGTACAAGACAAGGTTGCATGGAGATCTTATAGCAGCCCTCCAATATGTAAAGGGGTCTAACAGGGAAGTTGGAGAGAGCCCGCAAGGACTCAAGTTATAAGACGTGATGGGTGTAAATTGAAAGAGGAAATACTTAAGATTACATTCCAGAGAGAAATTCTTCACTGTGAGGGTGGTGAGGCACTGGAACAGGTTATCCACATAAGTTGTGGATGCCCCATCCCCGGAATATTCAAGGCAAGGATGGATGGGGCTCTGAGCGAAATGTTCTGGTGGAAGGTGTCCCTGCCCATGGCCGTGGGATTGGAACTACTTGACTGGAACTGATTGGAACTAATTGGAACTAGGATTCCTTGTAAACCCTTAAAATTCCATTATATGCAAGCAGCAATGCCAATCACGAACGCTTCCAGCRAACAGGCTCCCGCCGCCCGCCACCTGCCCCGGCCCCGCCGATTCTGCCGTCAGCCTCTGGGGAGAACACGGCTGTGGAGACCAACTCGGCGGGGCACGGGCACGGCGGCGGCAACTCCGCGCTCTCCTTCCCGCGGAGCGCCAGCCGAGGCACCCGGCCCGGCCCGCCCAGCACCGCGGCCCAGCGCTCACCCGTCAGGGGCCCAGAGCCGCGCGGTTCTGTCCCGGGAGACGGACACGAAGCCACCTTCTGGAAAGAGGCCMCGAGTGAGGCCCCGCACGTCCTGTCCGTGCCCCAGCAGGGAGCAGCGCAGCCGGAACGTGCTGCCCTCACCCGCCATGGCGGCAGCGCCGACCTGACACAGCAAGGGCCGCGCCGTCGCCGGAAGCTGCGCCGGAAGTGTCGTCACGGAGCGCGCCGCCAGTCAGGCAGAAAGACTTCTTGTCCCAATAGGCATCSCGCCTACGGAGGCGGCCATGTCGCCGCTTTTCTCTCGCGAAGCATTCTGGGAGTCGTAGTTTCCCRTAGGTGCTGCAGGTTGGAGCGAGATTTGCGGCCATCGCGATATCCGTGGCGGTGGTTGCTGCGATACGGCGGCGCTGCCCGCGGGCTGATGGCGGGCGAGCGGCGCGGGGAGGGGACGGGCCCTTGGAGCGGTAGGGGCTGCGCTGCTCTGCGGCTGGGACGGGCCCCTCGGGGGGTGGCGAAAGCTGCCGGGGTTGGTAAGGGGTAGCACAGTCTGGGATCGCCTTAGTGTCCGGTCATGGCTTACGGAGCATCCCCAGATAACCSTCCAGTTTGTTTCATTAAAGATTTGCATTCAGATACTGGAGCAATAAATGTAAAAAAATAAGCAGAGACCTCACTAAGCACTGAAAAGGTACTCTGCCTGACCTTACTCTTGGTTCTTTCCGAGCCCTGCCGCAGTCTTGTACCATCCAGTAAGGAAATGTTTTGCARATTCAAAAAAAAAAAAAACAAAACCACCAAAAAAACCTCAATTTATTTTAATAAGAGTTAAGCTCTAAAGAGTCGGTTATGGTAGTTTTAAGGATCGTGTACGAACCMAAGGACGATTTCTCTTCTTAGCAGAAAGAAGTTAAAAAGCAAGCGAATATGGCCAACAGTCACAGACCTCCCATGGCTCGCTCTTCTTCGAGAGCAGGAATAGGGCTGATCTCTTCATCAAGGCCTGCCTCTTCATCGAGGACTCCGTCAGGTGGCAGGATAGGAACAGCGGTATGTTAAAAAAGATTATCATTAGCTCTGATATTCTTAGATGTTTGCCCTTTTATTTTTTTTTTTTTTTTATTTATTTTTTTAGTACCGTGACTGGAATGAGGAGAAGTTAAAGTTGGTATTTTTTTACAAAGATTATAAGATTTCAATTTTGTAAAAAGTTTTTGTCTGGAGGGGTCGGGGAAGTCCAGCGTCTGGAGTTCACTTGGGTGACCTAAATAGCATTAATATTGCAGATAGATGGAACAATGAACAGCTCTCAAAGGTAATTCCTTCCCTTCTACAGCAGACATTTGATTGAGCCTTTGCTTCCCTGAAGAGATATAAATGCTAAAAGATTCCTACAGAACGAATATCAAGACTAACTAAAGTTTTTTATTGCTTTGGCAATTGCTTAAGGATAGTAAAGTAGTAATTCAGGCTTGCGAGATTTTTCATGTGTTCTTTTTTTATAGATGCCTCCTAGTACAGCAAGACCTGGTTCTCGTGGTGGTTCTTTGACTCCTGGAGGAGTTTTATCATCTCAGATTAAAGTTGCAGACCGTCCAGTGACTCAGCAGGGATTAAGTGGAATAAAAACTGCAATGAAAGGTATTTTGTACTGAAAATAGCCATAAAGATGTCTGCAAACATTTTGAAAGGATATTTAGGTTTTTARATGAAAGCTTTTAATCATTGTATAAATTGCGTGAATAGCTGTGATTAAAAAGAGCAGCAGAAACAAAGAGAAAATTAAAGCATCCCTTTTTCATATTACTCTTGGCAGCCAAAGAAGATAAGGGTTTTTCTGCAACTGAGCTGTCTTTAAAGTCATTCAGAATAGATCAAGAATATTGTGTTTTCTTCCATCACTGCAGAATAACTAAAATATTCTGCTGTACAGTGACTATTCATRTATCCGTGTTAGTAATGTTTACCTTCTCAGCAGTCTGAAAATGCCTTGTTCTTTTTAATGAGATATTACCTATTTATGAACACTAAAAGATACTAGTTGTATTTTTTACTGTAAATTCTGCAGATTGTTTTCCTAATGTTCAGTTCATCAAATAGGGTTTTTTTAACCAAAATATCATGKTGGTCTCTTTTATCAGGTCCTCAGAGACAGATACTGGATAAAACATACTACCTTGGAGTGCTGAGGTATGTCTTAACCTATTCAAATTAGAGATGATTTAATGGTYTGTTCTGTTTCAGACAGAGTTTAAGTTTCTCAATTGCATGCAATAAGAGATGTTCACTTATAATAAGCTGTTAGAAGAGTGCTGCTATAAAAGTTTATTTTGCATCTAATTTGTAGGAAGAAAGAAAGAAGAAGTGTTTGGCTTGCTAAATTAAATGCTGTCTCACAGCATTAGTAAGGGGGATTCTGAGATTCCACCTCTAATGCTTGTAAAGTGTGATATGTAAGAAGTAGCATTGCAAGCTAAACACTTTTATTGTATATTTCAGGTTGTTTATTTGGATTATACGTTGAGCTAGCAATGACAAAGGCAAGTCTTTATGCAAACGATTGCATGCAGGACTTTATCAGTTGATCGTATTGCAGTTTTGAATAATCAATCCCAAATGATGTMATTTTAAATGTGGATGATACCCACTTTTGGTGAAATTATACTGTGGGTTTTTTTCTTCTCCATTTGAGAATAATTCACATTCATTTCACCAGCAGAGACAAAAACCTAGTTATAACATTTTATTTCATATCAAGATTTTCCAGCAACTACTTAGGACTTTATCTGAGACAGCCATTTTGCCTCTTTCTACACTTAGTCATCTCATCTTAGAAATTCTGATTTGAAACAAAGTGCAGTGTGAAAGATACTAATTGCAAATCTCCTCTAGTGAAACGTATTTTCTGTTTTAGCTGTGCTTTAGTTGTCYATCTAAATGTTAATGATTCTCTTTTGTTTATTTTTTTCAGAAGTAAAACAAATGAACTTACAATGGAAATTAATAAGCTGCAGGAAGAAGTAGAAATGTACAAGCAAGAGAAATCTGTCTATTTGTCCTATGAAAAACGGTGAGATGTATTGCAGCTAATACAATCACAAGACTATTTTCAAGTATTGGGCAGGCTTCAAGGAACCAGTGAATAATTTTTTTTCATGGTTTTRTTGTTATATATACAAATCATACCATTTGAACTTGGACCTTTTTTTTTGTTTCTAGGGCAGAGGCTTTAGCTGCTGAAATCAAAGATTTTCAAGGACAACTAGCAGACTACAACATGGTATGCTGCTGTTAAATTTTGATAATGAATGCTCTCCTTTCTCATTTRTTTTCCCACTTATTTTGTACTCCTTTTGCTTTATTCAGGATCTTTTTTTCTGACATTTTTCTGTAAAAATGTACTAGTTAGTACTGCCCTTATTCAGTTATTGGAAAGGAAAAAGATGGAAATGGAGGAAAAYAAAAATAAGTGTACAATACATTAGGAGAAGTGGCAGCATATGGATTTAAGAAATCARTGCTGTGCAATATTTCAGTGCTTAGAACAGCTACATATAATGTTGATTACTTCTGAAAATTACATGTTATCTGTTCATGTTCCCAAATCATGTTTTTTTCAATATGCAATAACTGAAATTTGCTGTGTTTTTATGAACTTTGTCTGATCTATTTTTTTTTTTTTATTTTAAAGGGAAGGAGAGCAGTATAACATGTTGGAATTCTGTCTTGTTTCAGGTTGTGGATATACTTAACACKAGTACAGATATGGCGGAAGTGATCCGTGATTACAATATGGTAAGAATTAGGATATTTGCTATGCTTTAGCAGTGAAATTGTGTGTTACATTCTTGGTGCTTTAAATGTCTGATATATCTAAAAAAGTGGAGCATTGTCTTGAAATTTAGTCTTTTTTTTCCAGTTAAGTTATTCATAATGTTGGCAGCATGTTAGCAGTAAGACACTTGACTGAAGTGTTGCATTAATAGTCATATGATAGTTTCCTGTGATTTAGATTTGAGAAGGGTGTCATCTCAATCCAAATTATGAGTGTTAAAATACCTTTTTTTATTTTCTGGGAGCACAGAACACTAGGAGAGGCAAATTTAAGTAAACTCCACTGCCTTGTAAAGCTGCCTGGTTTTCTGGACATTAAGCTCTCCTTTGTCTTCAGCCTTTTAAATGTCTCCAGTGTAAAAAATATTAAATAGGTCTCTGACATAGCCACCACAAAGTCAAAGAGTTTTGTTCTTCCTTTGCTTTCCTTCTTTATTTTTTAAGACAGATGGAGTATTCCTCTAAGTGTTGAGGCRTGAATGGCATTATGCGTATTTTATTTGTTATGATGAATTTGTCCATGAACAAAAGAAACCAGTTTCAGTAAAGTTGKTTTTGGTAACTTGAAAAATTACCTCAATTTTTCTCGGTCAAACAACTTTTTCTGCATTTGATCAAGGAATAAAGATACAATGTTTGTTTCATAACGAGAAGAATGCTTTTCCTTCTTTCTGCTAATTTAAACAATTTTATTAAGTGTTTCAGCAATAACAGTAACAATAGTCAAAGTGAGTCAATTTCTCTGGAAGTATAGAAGAGACATGTACATGTTGCTTTTAGGAATATGGTTTAATGGTGAACTTGGTAGTGCTGAGTTAAGGTTGGACTTGATGATCATGGAGGTCTTTATCTACCAACAAGTTTCCATGATTTATTATCAACTTGATTGTATTTCAACTTTTCTTTTTTAAGCTGAAGGTTCAGAACGACCGAGATGCTCAGAGTATGGATAAAATTTTCACAGAAAGACAAGCGTAAGTACATTAAATGTATGTTTTTCAATTTGGGATAACTCAGCTCAGGAAAATGGAGGTTTACCTGTTACCCTAACAGTGCACTGCATATCACAAGTGATACGTGAACAATTTCAAGATGATACATTAGTGCCAGGTTGCAACTGGACTTCCTATCATTACTGTACTAACTGGTTTGAGGATAATTATCACACCCCCCAGGAAGAGTTAGGTGGCAATGGAGACTCCTTTCTTTTSGCAATCTGCTATCAAGTTTTGGGAGTTTTGTTGTGATATAGCAGAGTGMAGAAAGCAAGCGCAAGTGGGAGCTAGACCTTTGCCTGTCCAGTAAGGTAGGGTTGTGCAGAGGGAAAGATGAGGACAGTGAGATGCTTGCAGTGAGAGTTCAAAAACCATGAGAATGGCTTGTGCAGTGATAGAATGACTGAGAAGGTGAGTTCCTGAGGTATTTAATTTAGGTGCAAGAGATACGCAGGAGAAAGATATATGTTCCTGCTTTTGCCAGTGAAACCAATCKCAACAATGAGATTTTATGTATCAATAAGCACTCCCAAGCAACCAATTTACCATTTAATAATGTCACATTTCAATAATACTACAGTTTTCAACAGCTCATAAACATGTCTGTTTTACCCCAAATGCATTTTTAAGTGTTAAGAAAATATGAAGAGAAAATACTTGGTTCAGTAGCCATGCAGTAATGGTAATTTATTGTTGCACTGTACATACACATCTTTGTGAATACAGCAGTTGGTCTGTCTTGTTCTGCTAATTTGGTAAAAAAAAATACCCAAATACTCCATTCTCTGATTGTATGTTTTGCCTAATAGGCTGTAGAGCTGTTGCACTGCTGATTTGGAATCARTCTCCAGACTGGCTATGGTCTGTTTCAACATTTTAGAGAAATTATTTTTGTCTTAAATAATTAGACCTCTTCACAGTGAAAACATTAGTGATTATGCCAGCTTCACCTGTGACTTGGTAAAGACCTGTTCGTGTTAAACTATATACATAAATCCCCCCAACATAAGTAGACAAATAGATTTTTATAAAAAGAAGATTATGAGTATTTTTTCATGTTCTGAAGTATTTGTTTTGCCAGTAATGCRTGTATATAACCCCATTTTTTAACTTTGTGATTGATCCATCAAAATATTGTTATGGATTTGGCAAGATGCAAGGAGATAGACTGCATAACTTCATTCTGTGTTTTCCATGGGCAGCATAAAATGGAAGTACAAGTATAGTACATTTTTGAAATGTCAGTTCAGGTTCCATTGTTTAAGACATTAATGCTCCTCATTTACACAAGTATCTATGTATTTATCCTCAATAAATCCATCTTCTTCATCTCCAAATGCATGAACTTTCTCAAATATTACAACGGGTTCTTCACTGCTTGTAGCCGATACTGGAGAAGAATTCATGTCAGCGGAGAACTCCTGTTCAAACATCTCTGAGTAATTTTCTTCCAGACGACGGTGACGGTAGCTCATCAAGTGGTGATACCATGCTGGGCATTTTACAGCAGTAAAAATCAGGAGTGTAGTGCTTAGGACAAACCCTAGGACACCYGCTAGGAAGGTCCAACTTTTACCAACAAGTGGTAATGCTTTAAAACAAACAAGAAAAAAAGAAGAGCAATCTTCATGAGGAATACTAGCAAGAATTTAGTATGAGCTTTTTCATAGCTAAATTGRGAACTCATAGAGTAAACTGATAGGGAAATTGCTAAGTGTCTCCAGAGCTTTAGTAGAATATTATTGCTGTTGTTATTGTTGTTAGGGAGTCAGTAATGTCAGAGACTTAACAATGTACATGCATCTCGTATTTCCTAGCAATATAAATTTACCTTGCATAATTATAAAAATTGTTTCAAAGCCTATTTCAGAGATAGAGTTCTAGGGACATAGGAAAGATAAAAACAATAAATAAGTATAAAATACAAATACTTTTTTCAAAAGTTAAATTTCAAGATTAGGCTTTGGAATAAAAAAAATCAGTAACTGGCTTCAAATCCTGTTTCCCAGGCTTGACTTTTTATACGGCCATGATGTTTGAACCCTAAAATACCGTGTCTTTTGTTTGGCATATCCTTGGCATATCCTTTCAATTGTGTTTCTTTTATAATAAAAATTTCAGTAAACGGTAGTTGCCGATAGTATTTACTTAGAAGCTGTTTTTGTGTGCTGGCCACTGCTCTTTAGGCGCAGAGATTATAAGTAGTAGATTATAAGGTGGTACAGCTAAAGAAATGTGTCACAGTGGTGGCTTATAATTTGTGTATAAATCTATAGATATATTTCCTGCTTTAGCCAGAAGAAGGAAGTGAAGCATTTCAGGATGGAAGAGTTAACTTGCAWGTAAGATTAACACTGAAAGGTGAAACAAGGTGAAGAGACTATCACTGAAATTTCCAAAGAATGTGCAATGGCCGCACCCATGTCCTTTGTACTGAACATAGTTAGGAGAGGAGTAAAATTTGTAGTTGTTTTACTACATCTAGAAAGCAGTTAGGAAAAAGCAAATTTTTTGGAAAACCTCCARAGTTCTATTCGGCAGAGATCTAGACAATGGTCTGAACTTTAGGACCTTGAAATTTTATCTCCATTTTTTCGTATCATTTGAGAATTGTGTGGTTTATCTGTTTTGAACATTTAGTCAGTAGACACTTAACATTCACCATAATGTATGTGGTTGTCTACCAGAACCTTGTTCTGTAGACCTGCCTTTTATGGAAGAGTCAGAATGTACTAGGAATGCAGAACAGTATAAAGTCATGGAACAGCAAATCAAACCAGTCAAAAGCAGTAAAGTGAAATATTTATGTATTACCTGTATGAGTTCCATTGTTTCCAGTGAAGTTGTTTGGAGTCAGAGCTGTTATTAGGGCACTACTTCTGAGATTAACAGCAGCAGTGGAAGTTACAGTGTTTTCTAAAGAAGTCTTTTCAGTTTTGCAGTCAGCTGGTTGGATAGCTGCCGTCTTGATGGAGATTTTTTCCATGTTTGGGAAGGCACATGTAGTGTTGCTTTCATTTTCTGTGAATGTGAGCAGTGAAAAGGCTGTGAGATATTGTTAATTTTTTGRCACTATTATCTAAAAAAAATCTCATGGATAGCTATTGTATTACTGCATAATATGGGTAAGCTGACGGTGGATTTTATCCACTTCAGAAAAAAAATGCACAGTAAGGCTATTCGATGGAAACAARTATCAAATGCTTCTCTTACCAACTTACCCAATGTCACATTGGAAGCAGTTAGCCATGCCTGTAAGTCAAGGAGGTCACAGGAACAGTTCCATGGGTTTCCAGCTAAAACAATTTTAATCAATTTAAAAGATGATTTTATATGAAAATATTTCAGAAAGTTATACTGTAGATTTAAAACTGTCAGGCTTTCTAGAGAAGTAAATGGATCTGAATCCAGTTGAGCAATCTTGTTATGGGATAGATTCAACACTGACAGTTCATTTAATCCTGCAAATGCTGCTTTGTGAACTGTGCTAATACAGTTGTTGCTGATATCCAGACTTCTGAGTTTTTTCAGATTGTAGAAGCTGCAATTGTACAGTACAGTAATGTTGTTTTCATTCAGATGAAGTTCAGTGAGGTTAATAAAACGTCCAAGAATCTCTTTGTCATGATCTTCTAAAGTGATTTTATTGTTTTTGAGGCTTAATTTAGTAACATTTTGTAAAAGGTTGTTGGGGATATTAAAGAGGTTCTTTCCAGACTCCTCACAAGAGACCTGTTGAAAACAAGAGAATGACAACAAYTGAATTCTGTAGAAATGTCTATAGTAATGAAGGTGTCTCAGTGAGGACTATTAGAGGCAAGAAAAAACAATCTTGTATTTTTTAATGCTGGCACTTGAAAAGTTCTACTGCTCCTCATGAAGTTTTATTTATATCTTTCTTAATTAACTCTTGATCTGGTGATACAGTGGAATGAATTCTCCTAGTGTCTAGAGASCAGAGTGCTTAGTGCTGAACTCTGAACAAGGATCTTTGTGTGATGATCATCCAAAATAGAACCAGTTTGGCATGCTATTATTGAATTATTATTTGGAATTAATTATTTTTGGGGTAAAAAAAAAAGATTCCTTTCTTACATCTCTGGGAAGAAGGTATTGTGAAGGAAGTTTATTCAAGACTGGAAAATTATTCAAATATGCCTTCTAAATTTTTTTTTAAGTATCTATGTTTAGTCTTAATTTAGAAAAACATCTTTAGAGCAGACCTTCAACAAAACATATATATTTATTTWTTACAGCACTTAAATTCATTTTGGTTTTCTGTGTTGAAATTCAGCATAGCTGCAGTCTTTTCAGATTTGAGGGTTTGCTCTCAATACTTTGAAATACTTTTGTTTTCTGAAAAGGGTACATATATTTATATATGTGAAGAGGCATTCCTGTTGTTTCTAAAAGAATTTGACTGATACACAAAGTCATCTCAAGTATGATTCAGTATTATTCACCCACGTAAAATGACTGCCATCAGCTGATTGTCCATGTACTCAAAACCACTTCTTACTTGCATTTTTCTGTTTCTTTCTTCAGGACTTTCATGTTTATGAAACAATTTTTTTTAATGTCTTCTACTTCATGTTTATTTTCAAAAATAAGGGTTATTCAGATCARTGTAAAACTTACAGCTTGGGAAGTAATGTTGCAGTCAGCAGTGACTAGATTCAAAAACATTGTTCCAGCCCAGATGACAAGCCAATAGAGTTTCATGTTTGGAACCTAGTGAAAAACAACACTTTTAGATACCAAGACCAGAATACCAGTGTCTTCTGTAGTAGTAGTGTAACAAATTCTTAGAGTTATTTCAATGATTGTTTACTAAATTTTGTTCTACTTAAATACTTCGCAATGTAAATTTAAGTGGAAAAACAGAGGTTATCAGAATTAATGATTTCAGCTTTTACTTAATTGAACCAAACCTAAAATCAGTTGTGCAGATGTATCAGCAAATAAAAAAGGGATTGGTTAGAAAAATTAATATACAAAAGTATCATACATTTATGAAACAAATAGGCAGGACTGTACCCATTAATATCCATGTTAAAGCAGTTATGGGTAGTGGAAGACTGATTGGAGTAAACTGCAGAAAGTATTGATGATTGCATGTTCTCCCTATACTATTTCTCCTGTGACAAAGTCAGAATACTCTTTTTAGACAATTGTTGGTTTATCCAGTCAGATTTCTTTTATGTTCATATGTAAGTTACTAAGCAGTTGTTGTGAGTTTTTAATTRGAATATTGGTCTTTCAATCTTATTGTCCATAATACAACCTATTACACTACTTAAATGTAGACTTCTCTGTTATGAAGGTATAGTTGTTGCTCTGATCTTTGGAATTAAGTAAACTTGGTGCAATCTCTAGTGATGGAGTTTTGGTACTAATTTGAGCCTTATTTTTTTAATGTCAGGAAAGATCCTACAAATGGTATTAACTGTGACATTAACATCTCTCAGAAAAAGAGTCACTCAATCATTGCCTTTGAATCAGRCGCTGTTTGTAGTGTCTATTAATTTTGGGCAGAAGTGTTAAACCATGTCTGTGAGATGTTAAATCAGTCCCTGCTTGTGCCACTCTTGAATGAAAATCTTACGTAAAAGCTAACGAGCCTTTATTTTTTTCAGTTTTCATAATCATCTGAAAAGATAATGCRTTAAGTGAATCTTAGTATTTACTTGCCAGGTTTCTATCTTCCAGAGTAAAAGAAATTAAAAAGAATAAAAGTGTAAGATACTTGTTTATAATGAACTGTACAAAGCATTCACTGAATTTAAGAGTGGGAGAAATTACATAAGGAAGTTTAATTGCACAAACAATGCTAAATATAGGCAGCCAGTCAGGCACAGGCAGCCACCAGTTGTTAAAACCAGTGCCAGGTGACCTTTGCTGATCAGAATGAAATAAATGAGGTCATAGAACAAACTGGTCAAGTCTGTTTGATAACTTTCATACATTTGCATGTTGGAGGATTGACCTCATTCACCTAACTGAATCAGCCTGGAAATTTTGTAACTTCTTGGAAAGAACAGGAAGATAAATGCCACTTACTCTGCTCTGTTCTGTTGTGTATTTCTACTTCTGTCAGAAACTTATATTGAACAAAGAGAGTTCATAAACCTTTTGCTATTTAGCCATTACCTGTAGCAGAGACAAGGGGTGCTAAGCAGCAGCAGCCCCTGTGGAATTATTTTCAAGTATTAGGTATTGCATTTGTCAGTGGTGGTACTGGTGGCCTGCACATTTTTTGAGCCGGTTTGTRTATTGTGAGTGGAAAATGTGATGCACTTTGAGAATTCCCAAAATGTTTTAACATCGATCTTGCAGCATATTTGGACTTTAAAGATACAGCTTCCTAAATGTTCAGGACAGAGCTGGTCTTAACCTGGCAATTTAGAAATACAGATTAATAGCATTGTTGTAGTTTGCAGATTACACAATTCTATCTTCAGTAGAATGGGGAAAATATATTAAACATTGTTTTTAATGTTAATGTGTAAGTTAATAACAATCAAGTTGAAAATACAAGTTGTACATATGTCTAAGTTAAAAACATTATTCCTAGCTTTTACTTTAATTTATACTGAAAACAGAGGGTTTCTTACAAATGTGACTGCCTGCTTTTTCTGTGTGTGAACCTGTTTAATCACTAGAAGAACAGGAAMGCATATGTAATTTTAGTTGCAGTTTAGCATTTTACTAGAACCAGTCTTTAAGAACAAATTATGATTAAGCTTAAACTGSTGTTTAAACTAACTGCTTTGGAAAGAAACTCAGCCTGACAATATATTGGCAATATGTTGGTAGTACCTTGACATTTCTATGTAATTAGAGGTGCTTTCTTAAAAATTTCCATCTCAGAACTTTGAAAATTATATCATTTAATAATAAGGTAATTATTTTTGTTTTCCTGGAGAGGTAATTGAGTTTATGTAATCAGTCAGGCTTTCAGAGTCTGCTCCCCGGCTTTGTAATGAAGTAGAATTTACTCAGCATGTCCAAGGTTCATAGTAATTCCTGAAGTTTTAATAAACCTTGAGATGTATTTGCTTCCAGTCTAGCAGCAAAGTTATACTAATAAATCTTTGCCTGCATTTTGAATTAGACATGCCAAGTGTCTTACCTTTCTGTTGCTTCTTAGAGGTAGCATATGTACACATGTGTAGATTTTTCAGTGCACTGACAAGAAATAACATGGTGAGACAGCACTTTGTTTTTCTTCAACCTTTGTACCTGATGAATAACCAGACAGTGTAAAAAATAATAAACCTAGAAAATCCTTAGCAAAAGATTGACTAAGTTGAGCAACTTCTTATAATCATCTTGGATTTAATTGGATCAGCAGCCAATAGAAAAGTGTAATTGTAATGTGCTGAAGTGTCAAGTTCCAGATCTTGAAGGAAGCAGTCGTTTTAAATGCCACAGGTAATATACAAGCAAGTTGAGTTATAATCATTTAAAGAAATGCTGGAGACAGAAAAGACTTGCATTTTTTATTTTATCRTTCATCAAATGAAGAAAATGTCAGCATATTTGCATACTGAAGTAAAGCTTTCTAAAGGCTGGTTAATGCTTATGTTTTGGGAGCATCATCATCAGAGGAGCTGCAGGTGATACATAAAGCACATTATTTACAAAGAATTATATAGACTATAAGGATGTCTGTAATAAAGGCTATATTTCAGGAAGAAGTTCTAAAAACAAATCATAATTGCTCTGGCTTGAGACAATGTCGATATACAGGCTAAAAAAGGTGTGTTGATATACAAACACTGTGTCCAATTAATTTTTAATTGTATTATTAGTGCTCATTCTGTCTTGCGCACACTACCAAACTATAGAAGAGGTCATTTCCATTCCATCTCCATTCCTCTCAAATATGTTGCTGTAGAAATAAGTTTACTTCAGTATGTCTTCATTGTAATTGGCACTTTGGTTTTGCTTAATATCTCAAAACATTCTAAAATTTTTCCAAGCCTCATTCCTGATTCTGTTTCATCCATAGTGTTCAAATTAGTTGTGGTCATGAATTCTGTTCCTGTGACAGCCATTGCTGATTCTTTTATTGTCTCTTGAAAAATCACTAAGTTGCTTCTCCCAAGAAGGTTTCTGCCAGAGAAGATGCATCACAGTTAAGTCAGATATTTCTAGCCTCAAGGACATGCTGGATCATCTTGAAATATTTAGCCAGGAGTTGTATCATGTATTATGTAAGAAAAGGAGAGTTGCCTCATGTAAAGAGGCTACTCTGTGATGTGTCCACACACACTTTAAATAGATGAGGTGGGAAAAGTAGTTTTCTTTTCTTATCCTGCCATTCACATTTTCAATCTCAGGCATAGATGAGAGAAATCCCATAGAGCTTGGAGAAAGCACTGCCTTAAAGAGTGGTATTGCTGTACATGTTATTGCAATCTCTCCAGGAGTGCTGCATGTGGAGATCTCTTGTGCAAATCAGCACCCTTAACATTTTGTTGAGTATTTTACTGCACTTTCTCTACCTTCTTTCTTCCATATCTTCAGCTGGGCTTGATTTGAGAGAAATTGAGTCACTGATTTGAGTCACTGCTGAGTCCTTGCAACAGCTTTCATAGGTCCAGATTTAGGCATGAGGAGCATCCAGTAAAGAAGTAACATGAAGGATCCCTGACAACTCCTAGTTCCATGCCTTCCTAAAGGTCTTGGATCAAACTACTCTTGTAGCTTAAAAAAATAGCTCCTTTCCACTACCACATGTAGCATAATTAACCATTTATAAACTGGTGTACTTGCATTGAGGACCTCAGTCTTTGGACTGGGTCTGAATAAATCCATTTTACTCTCAAGAACGTATTAAATTTAATTTTATGTTACAATCATCCAATATTTCTTATATAGTCAGTGTGCACTCCAAATTTGCCATACTAAGTGGAGGATCATCACTCAACATTTGTTTCATCATAATCAGGTCCAAAGCATCTTTGCACCATGGCCTACTAATCTGACAGAATTTCTGCTTAATAGTCTCAGATTCCTCGATATTATATACCTTTCTTAGAAGCTAGTTGGAAGTGGTTACACTTTCGAAGCTGTTTTGAGAATTCCTGGTGAGTGATGAAAACCGTGTGGAAAGGCTGAGGGAATTGGCATTGTTTAATCTCTAGAAGGGCAGGCTTAGTGAGTGTTTTATTAAATTAAATATCTGTTTTTATCAAAGTAATACCCCTGATGGCAAGGGTTTAAGAAAATGGAGCCGCGCTCAGTGGCTAAGGGCGGGACAAAATATGATGGCCAATACTGGAGAACAGGAAACTCCATGCAAACATCAGAAAAAACTCTTCTTTCTGTAAGAGTGAGCAAACATCACACTATTGCCTAAACAGGTTTTGGTTTCTCCCTCCTTCAAAATACTTAYAAAGACTGACTACCTGCTCTAGGTGACTCTGCTTTGAATAGTGTGCAGGTTGGATCAGACAACCTTCAAAAGTCCATTCAGATGTCAACTCTAGTCTGCTTCTACAATATTTTCATTATTCCCTTACTCTGACATTATCATTSTGCAGTTCCACTATTTTGCATCGTCTTTAAACCTGACGGCATTCTTGTCTGCAGTCTTTGATCCAATAGTGTCAGTTACAATTTACAACTTGTCATCTTGCACTTCAGGAAAAGTTAATGAAAAMGAGAAAAAAAAAAAATCCTGCAGGTACTCAGTTGATTTTGTCATTCTTAACAGCAAAAATCACTTTGGAAGCAAGCAAACTGTGTAAGCAATCTTCCATGAACAATGAAGGGAATTAAGATATACTCTTCAGGATCTCAAAGTTTTTTTTTTTAAATTTTCTTTAACTGTGTTCTCAAAGTGATTCTCTAGCTTTTGGGAGTTTCATAGAAATTACTAGATTTACTATGAAAGTGATAACATCACTCTGCAGTGATAACAGTTCTTTATGCCTTCTTTAAATCTGCTAAGACAATTGCYTGTAGGTTGCTGTAGTTGGAACAGTAAAGTTTTTATATTTGCAGCCTGTTGATTTCCTAACAAGATTAAAGTCCTGAATCAAGAATGTACAAATGCCTAATTTCTTTGTTATTGCATGGTTATAAAACTTTACACTGCTTAGACCTCTGAAACAACTTTCCATTCTAGAGAAATCAACAATTCTTTGCAAAAAGAAAGTAATCTTTTCAGCATCATCACCTGGTACTGCCAAATCTTGATGTCTATATATTTTCATAGTGTAAATTCACAAATTGCATACCAGCTTCTTTATTTCAAACTGCCTGTTGTTACTCCAGAAATTCACTCATTAGGAGCAACTGAGAGGGAGTTCTGTACTTTTGAAAGTGTTGAGGCAAATGCAGAKAGACAGTGTGGGAGTGCTGGAAAACATTGTGTGGGTATTGAATAGGCAGAGAATTCTTCATGTACTCTATTTCATGATGTGAATTTTTGTATAGCTAATTCAGCTCCAGGAAGATTAGATACAAGTTGGTAACTCCTTTTTATGGAGTCTGGGCTTTTTATATTACAGGAGTATTTCAGTGAGGCTGAAGGAATAATGAAGTTTGAAATGAGTGCTTAAAATAAACATCAACTAGTAAAAGTTATGAAAACATTATRTTTTTACAGCACAGAAAAGTTAATTCAAGCTGTAGAAGAAGATATCGAGCGTGAAAAGGTTGTAGCAGATGATATAATGAAAGACATGTCACAGGAAAATCAAGCTAAATATATGGAGATGAAAGCTACTAATGAAAAACTCTCCCAGGTTGGCTTGTTTCATTATGCTTACCTTAAATATTTCTTAAACTGGCTTCATGGGGTTTAGTTAAAATTTAAGTACTAAAGAGCTTGACAACAGAGTAATAAAATAAAAAAGCTTGCTAGTAATCTATTTTAGAAGTGTCTGAAAACAGAGAAATTGACCAAGATTAAATTCTTTCTCTTTTTGTATTTCTTTTTAAGAAGAAATAATGTTCACAATTTTCTGTTTGATTTTGAGGATTGACACGCAGATTTTAAAAGCCACTGCAATACTTAGATATTTCATCARGTGTAAAAAGCAAGCAAAAGGGAAAAATAACCCCAGCAATTTATTTAGTTCATTTGAGTAGGAAATTTTTACAAAGTGAATCTGACTAGGTTTTTCTRTTGTTAATACTGTATGTTCAAAAGTATCAGAAAAAATTAACTGGGCTTTATAAAATGTTTGTTACTTTACTAATCCTTATGTTAGCAACAGGAGGAACATTCCTAGGCTCTCTTGGGTGGTCTAGTTCAAGCCATACAGTCTTAAAAGTTTCTCTGTATAGTTTGTACAGAGATTACATCAGTGTTTCCCATTTGTCTTAGGATGAAGTGAGTCTGTGGTCAGGGCTTACCTGTTTCTTTCTGGACTATGAAGAAACTGTCATGGCTGATTCAGATTTTAAAATTTGACTCTAAACTTCTGAAGAGTAGATAATAAGTTCCACACATGGTTCTGATTTTAAGAAAAAGAATACTAGAAAAAGGGCAAACAATTTTTTGGTAGTAGCCCAACTGCTAATAACAGTGATAAAAGTAATGRAAAAGTTGGATGCTGAAGCTAAGTGCTTACTATGTTTGAGTTATGTGAAGGAGCTAGACACAGTCTTGTCTTTCAAATTTTTAAGAGCAGCAATGGGTGTTTTATAGCATTTTATACGTGCTAAGGTTTACAGCAAGAAAGTAATTAATCGAGTAGTAGTTTTTATGTGAATTTTGTATTTTGTTTTCTCTTTAGGAACTGGTTATTCAACAGCAGGAATTGGATGCACTAAATGAAAAGGAAGAGAGTCTAAGAGCTGTATGTATGATAACAAGTGGCCTTTGTACTATCCTTCCCTGAACTCTAGTGTAAAGAATAATAYTGTAGAAAAAAATACCTATAGTTTCTTTTCCTTAAATTTTCAGATACTGTAGGATCATGCTGTAGTAAGGGAAGGCAAATCTGCCTCTCTCATTACCACCAATAATTTCTAATCAGTTTTGGGTAAAAATACGTTATTGAGGGGAATTTTCTTATCTCTTTCATGGATCAAAGTATCTATGAGCTGAAACATACAATCAGAAAATATAATTTTCATAAACTACTAGACATTGTTTAGCCCTTTTGAATATTTTATGTAGTTTGGAATACCSTAGAA